AGGAAGGAGGATCCTGACCGAGAAGGACGAACGGCGCGTCTTCAGGAACGGCACGTGTTTCCACCAGCGTCTCCACGCGGCGACGTTCTCCGAGTCCTCTGCATGTTAGTGATATTTCGCCGGACTAAACTCGACCCCTGGACGTGAGCGAATCCACCGGAAGTTGGGTTGCGTCGGCCAATCAGAAACCTCACTCCAAATAGCTATGGACATTTTAGTTACCAGTTACCGAACGGCTTTGTGTCCATGGCGGAAACGTTTTTATACAATTCCAAATTGCGACAAATTTAAACACAATCCATAGATAAATATATTCGCATGTGTTTGGAAGTTCACGAGAACAGCAGTCTTCATGGCTTCCATATAAAATGAGAGGTGGAACTTATCACCAGCATGGTGGTGAGTTCAAATCATTTCCGCGCAACTTCGCTCTCACCTGGACTGGTTTCAAATTTTAGTTCGAAGCCACCATCACTCCATAACCAGTCTTTTGTTTAAAATGCACTTAACCTATTAGGTGCTCGGAGCAGCCCCTCTGAATCATTTTGCGGACAGGGTGACTGCCTCTGATGGTATCCAACGTTGCAAGCAAACCTAAACAATTGTTTCTGTAGTGGCAGACTCATGATGAAAGTGACTTGGTGTTCATAAACTTGTATGATTTTCATAGTATTCTAAGCAACAGGCATTCCCCAGACAAAAAGATTTCGCGCCCGTTACGGGCACAGCCCGAGCAAATCTGGGCACAGCACTGGCTCAGCACGGGGCCACAGCACACGGAGGCACAGCACGGGCCACAGCACGGGCAGGTACGGGCGCAGCATCCGAAGGCGGGTCAAGGCTCGAACCCGCATGGGGGCAAATGCGGGTAAATGCGGGTAAATGCGGGCAAGCACGGGCAGATGCGGGCAAGTGCGGGCAAGAACGGGCAGATGCGGGCATACGCGGGCAGATCCGGGCACATACGGGCACATACGGGCAGATGCGTCTGCATCCGGAGTGCTTTGAGGTTTGCACCCGAGACCCATTCGTGGACGAGCTCGGAAAAGCTAAACACGACTAATCGAAGCCTGGAGCAGTGCTGCACGCCTGGAAGCTATAGGTACCATCTCGTGCCGGATGAGCATGGAGGTAGTTTGGGTTGCCTAAGCTACAGGGTGATACGGCTCGTCTATCACCGTACCCAAACTACCTCCATGCTCGCTCACGCCTGGCACGAGATAGTTAGCTTCCAGGCATGCAGCACTGCTCCAGGCTTCGATTACTCGTGTTTAGCTTTTCCGTGCTCGTCTAAGAATGGGTCTTGGGCACAAACATCAAGGCGCTCCGGATGGAGCCGCATCTGTCCGTATGTGCCCGTATGTGCCCGTGTCTGCCCGCATCTGCCCGCATTCGCCCGTGCCTGCCCGCGTCTGCCCGCACTTGCCCGTACTTGCCCGCATCTGCCCGTGCTTGCCCGCATTTGCCCGCATTTGCCCCCATGCGGGTTCGAGCCTCGACCCGCCTTCGGATGCTGCGCCCGTACCTGCCCGTGCTGTGCCCGTGCTGTGCCCGTGCTGAGCCCGTGCTGAGCCCGTGCTGAGCCCGTACAAGCCCGTGCTGTGCCCAGATTTGCTCGGGCTGTGCCCGTGACGGGCGCGAAATCTTTTTGTCTGGGGAATTGCACTGGGTATTCAAGTATTGACACACGAATAGTCTCCAATGCGCCGACAATTCATGAAGAGTCACCATCACACAGCACAGGAAACAAACTTAATTCTCACGACACACTGCTGTTCTCAAACGACGTGTGGCCATTTTGTCTCCACAACGCAACGACACGCGAGGACTGCCCGTAGAGAACCGACTGCCTTTAACGACTGCAGGCCCTTCCTGAGCTTCTTTTGTTTTCCTCACGGTATTCGCAGTTTTCAAATGGTCGCTTGCCTTTCATGTGATCAGCAGTTAGACGCAATTTTTTATTTCATGACGACTCTTCGAGAACGGTCTGTGCGTTGGAGACTTTTCGTGTGTCAACACTTGAATACCCAGGGGAATGCCTGTTGCTTGGAATACTGTGAAAATCATACAAGTTTTTGAACGCGAAGTTGCCTTCATCATGAGTCTGCCACTGCAGAAACCAATCTTTTGGTTTGCTTTCAACGTCGGATACCATGAGAAAAAGTCACACTGTCCACAAAATGATTCCGAAGGGCTGCTCCGAGTCCCTAGTGGGGAGTACATTTTAAACAAAATACAGTGCAAATATAAGTGTAGGACAGGTCGACACTTTAAAGCGTAGACCAGTTCGTCCTACGCTTGCAAGTGTCGACCAGTTGTGTCCGACATTTCGAAGTGTCGACCACACTGTGTCCGACGCCTGCATGTGTAAGACACTGTTTGTCCTACGGCAAATAACACTGAGTTTCTTATTGTGAGCCCACACTTCAGCCGTCGGACATTCTGTGGTCGACACTTGCAGGTGTCGGACAGTGTGTGGTCGACACTTCAAAGCGTTGGACACAACTGGTCGACACTTGCAAGCGTAGGACAAACTGGTCTACGCTTTGAAGTGTCGACCTGTCCTACACTTGGATTTGCTGTGTACTGGTTTGTGGAGTGATGGTGGCTTTGCACTAAAATTTGAAACGAGTCCATGTGAGAGCGGTGTTGGGCGGAAATGATTTGAACTCACCAACATGCTGGTGATAAGTTTCACCACTCAGTTTTTATGTTAGCCATGAAGACTGCTGATCTCGTGAACGGTTTGTCTGATGAGTCTAGCCTTTGCCGCCCAACTAAATTTCAGTTGTCTCGTCAAAATGAGTTTTGCATTTGTCTCGTTGATAGAAACGTGACTGCTTTCCAGCGGGCTCGTGTCACGCTGAAGTTAATATGACAAAGTGAACCAAGCCTGTCACGGTCGTTGCTTCCTGGATCGTATTTGCCGACATCTGCAGTTAGGACAGTTCTGATTTGACACTAACAGTTAGGATGCCTCCAAAAGTCTGTGGACATGTTTGTCAATGGTTTGGTTTGTGTTCCCGCCATGGACACAATACCGGTCGGTGCCTAGTAACAAAAATGTCCATGGTAATTTGACGTAGGATTTTACTGTGTTTCAGAATGTCCCGCGAGCGTGAGCCCCGTCACCGCACGGCTGGATCGTCAGCGTCCGTGCGTGCTCCACGCGGTGTCTGCAATGGAGAGAAGCGTCTGGAGTGTCCAGTGTGCGAGAAGCAGTTCGCCTCAAGAAGTAACCTAGAAGCGCACCTTCGGACCCACACCGAGGAGAAGCCCTTCGAGTGCACAGTTTGCAGGAAGAGCTTCACTGAAAGTGGAAGTCTCAGTAGGCATCTTCGGACCCACACCGGGGAGAAGCCTTTCGAGTGCGCAGTTTGCAGGCAGAAGTTCAGTCGAAGTGGTAGTCTCAGAGCACACCTTCGCACACACACCGGGGAGAAGCCTTTTGAGTGCACAGTTTGCGGGCAGAAGTTCAATCATAGTGGAGGTCTCAGAACGCATCTTCGGACCCACACCGGGGAGAAGCCTTTCGAGTGCACAGTTTGCAAGAAGAAGTTCACTCAAAGTGGAAGTCTCAGAACGCACCTTCGCACCCACACCGGGGAGAAGCCATTTGAGTGCACAGTTTGCCGGAAGAAGTTCGCTCAAAGTGGAGATCTCAGAGCACACCTTCGCACCCACACCGGGGAGAAGCCTTTTGAGTGCACAGTTTGCGGGCAGAAGTTCAATCATAGTGGAGGTCTCAGAACGCATCTTCGGACCCACACCGGGGAGAAGCCTTTCGAGTGCACAGTTTGCAAGAAGAAGTTCAATGAAAGTGGAGATCTTAGAAAGCACCTTCGCACGCACACCGGGGAGAAGCCTTTCGAGTGCACAGTTTGCAAGAACAAGTTCAATGAAAGTGGAGATCTTAGAAAGCACCTTCGCACGCACACCGGGGAGAAGCCTTTCGAGTGTACAGTTTGCAAGAAGAAGTTTGTTCGTAGTGGACATCTTCGAACGCACCTCCTGACGCACACCCGGGACACGCATCGTGAGTGAATAAGTTTGGACGACCTTTATCTTCAGGACATTGTTCATACGGCGCATCATTTATGCTATTTCATTTAATCAATTCTGTTTAAAAGAACGTTGGAACAGCGCCAAAGCCGTGGCCATGATTCCTATTTTTCTTCAGTGCTCTTGGTACTGCTGTAACTTGTGCCAGTTGACAAATACTCACTGTTTACATTGAATCCAAGCCTTTTATGGTCCTTGTGTGGACGCCTAGTCGTTCCGTGCAATTTCACTGGTCAAGGGAGCAGTGGCGCTTTGTGCACGGTTTTTAATTTTTTCCAACTTTTTGTTTTGACCTCAATGAAAAATATTGGCATGAATGCTGAACACTAACAGCGGTACCCTAAAGCACAAATACTTTACAACTATTTCAAAACACAATTTGTTTTAGCACCTAATCAGGGAGGATTATGGTGCACGTTAAAAAGGTCTGCAAAATTATGAATGGTGTCACTACGCTCACGATTTCATCTGAAGTTTGATTTTTTTTTTTGCTATCGGTAAGCTGTATCAGAAACAGCATAAAATTCCCTAAAAATGAACCCCAGGGGCCAAAATCGGACAGAAAATACTGCTATATATTTAGTATCGGACGAGAAAGATTTGTTAGAGATAAATAAGTTTCCTAGCAGTATTTTTCGACTGATTTTAACCCCTGTGATTCATTTTGTGGCCAATTTAATGCGCTTTTAAATGCACTTTACCGATGCAAAAGATTTGAAAACTTTGGCTGAAAACGTGCGTGCAGTGACACCATGCATTATTTTGCATTCCTTTTTTACGTGCTTCCTATTCTGCTCTAATCTTTAGCTTAAGCAAAAAATTAAGTTCGGAAGTTGTGGTTAAATGTTTGCCCTTAAGGTCGCCGCCGTTGGACTCCAGCGTTCATGCCAATATTTTTTATTGAGGTGCGAACAGAAAGTTGGAAAAAAATTGAACAAACCGTGCACGAAGTGCTACGACTTTTTTATATGAACTAACAATTTCCTAAGAACTTGTTCTATCCATAATTGGCTCGTGACGCTTTGGTAAAATGCTTAAGCATCTAGATTTTCGTTTTTTTTTTTAAATGTTGATTGTGCTACCTGAGACTGCGTCTAACTGCCACCTTGTCCTCAGAAGCCTCTCGAGAACTCAACCAATTGGTGAAGGTGAAAGCTTCTGTACGAACATTGTTTGGACCAACGGAATAATTCTGTAAATTTTAAAGGGGCGTGACGAATACGTCGAAGCCGAGTGTTTTGTTTTGAATTCTTGTACCTTGGAACATTGCTTTTGGATACATTAAACTTGGTTCCTGTTTTGAATTTCTTGTGTAGTTTCAATTTTCCCTGCCGTCAGTTTTTCGTTTCTTGTGAAAAATGGCGAAAATTGAGTTAACTCCTTCCGCTTCCTGGATCAATCACCGTTTTTTATGAAGGATCAGACGGGTATCAGGCAAGAAATCACTCTTTGTTTACAGGGAAGAAATTGAAAATAAAAAGTTAGCACATAATATTTTCGACCCCTTTTCCCCCTGAGTCTCAAATGGTCACGGTCATGACACACCGCTCCCCGTGACGTCACACGCGTCCAGTCATTGGATGCCCGACTAGATTGTCTTAATTAGGTGCCTAAATTGAGATTTCATAAAAATCTGATTGCGTTTTGACAAATCCGGTCCAGTCCGGTCAAACGCTAACTCATGCGGACAACCTGAGCGAAGTGCTGCTGTAATATTTCAGCCAGTGACAATGCGAGCTAAAGTAGCTGCACTGACAAAAATTTTGTCGTAACTTAGCGACACATTTATCGCTAATTTTTATAGCGACAAGATTTGTTGTGGAACGAATAGCTTGTTAAACCAAACTCGTACTGGAACTAAAGGATAATTTCACAACGACTAACTTGTAATAACACATTAGCAGTCTACTTTCAAATACAAGTCGTTGACCAACAACAAAGTCTTGTAAGTCGAAAAAGATTTTGTAATGTCTGGGACAAGTATTCATGGAGTACTTTTGTCGCTAAATTTATTTTGCCTAATTCTTTTTTTAATAATAGTAATGTTGCTATGACTAAAGAAGACCAATAGATGATTATTCATAATATGCTTTAATTGAGCAGATAATTTGCAAAAGATTTTGTTTCAATACAAATAGTATCGTTAAGGGTGATGGCAAGAATTTTGTTCTTCAACGACAAAGATTCAACGACATTTCTTTCGCTTTGGTTCATGATAAAATTCTTTGTTTTGGAATGACCAAATTTTCACTTATCTGATTGTTACTTATCTGTTTCAAGGTCGTGCGAGGTAGACTCACTTTGGTCCCTCGGGGAAAGAAAGAGACCGGAAGTCGGGTCGCTTACTGAGAGGATGTTTCTGACCGGTGGACCCATCCGACTTCCGGTGTCTCTATTATTTCTTTACGAAGGATCTGTGGATGCAGCGCGCTAGTCTTCACTGTTCCGTAACCTGTGCGACGGGGGAGGGATTGGACTAGATGGCGGAACGGGGTCAGTGCCGCTGTGATGTGTTGATGCAGGCAGGGGCTGTCCATTCACAAAGGATTCTAAAAATATGAAAAGTTTCTAATAGTTTTTCACAGTGCTCAAAAGACACTTAAACTAATCCACTCACATACGTTAAGGAGGTTACGTTGCCGCGGCGCCAGTTCCTGTTTGACCCTCACTCTTGTTCTTCGATCGGCGACGACCAGAAAGCGCTCTGACGTCACGCACTTGGGGCTTTCGGACGCATCAATGTAGCGCAGCGTTACGCTGGGCCAGACCCCGCACCCTCGGTAACAGCGTTACGGAACGCTAAATTTCTCTTGTAAATATCTAAGTTACTTACTGCTTACTGTTATGAAATGTGTTCTCATACTTAACGTGTTAGCGTAACGTTACGCTGGCTCGGCGGCCCCGTCCTCCCATACCGCAGCGTTACGCTGAGCAGATATCCCCTCCCCCTTTCGCCCCTCGATGCATGACGTAATGAGGTATTCCGCCTGACAGGAAAGAAACTGCAAGATAGCCGTCGCTACAACACCGCAAACCCTACCTTAGTTTCGCATTGTTTCTGTGCACATGCGCTGAAGCCCCGACCAGGTAAAAATCCGGAAGCAAGTGAGGGTTTCCTATGTTCCCCGCAGCCATCTTTCAGTTTCTGCCCTTCCTCTTTCAGACGGATTACCTAACTACTGTGGGAGAAGAAAACAGCTTGGCTTCTCTTGAAATTGAGTTTTTAACCTAATAATGTACTTCAAAATGGTTTACATCATTGCAACAAATTTTGGCCAACCCACTCGTTAGCACCTTAAGAGAAATTTCAAGCAATTGTACAGTGCCCTCTTTTTTTCTTCGCATAAATATCGTTACGAAGCAAACGCTTTGTAGACTTTTCTTAGTGTTGTCGTTTTTCATCCAAGACCGTCTCCATCTTTACAGTCGCAATCCCCCTGACCCAAGGAAGGAGGACATCCTAGTCAAGGCCTTGAACCAGCGAATCTCCTGGAAAGGCCTGTTTCTCGACTAGTGCCTCCACACGGCGACGAGCTCCGAGTCTTCTACAAGTAAGTAATGTTGCGGAGGGCCAACGTCGGTCCCTCGACGCAAGCAAGTTGACCGGCAGCCGGGTTGCGTCGGCAAATCAGAATCCAGCCACTGATGACACGCGGCTCGGAGTCTGGAAAGGGCGCGAGCAACAGCGAACCGTCAGGGCACTGTAAAGAAACGTCCCCGGTGCTCGAGTGCCAGAGCGGCCGACGTTACCTAATTCAAATAGTAGCTGAGGCACTTCGTTTTAAGCAAAGTTTGGGGTAGGATCAGAAAGTTTTTTTCTTCCGCCCAGAAGGAAGAGGTGCCCAAGAATAATTTTTTGGCCCGTCCCGTTTATTTTTTGTAAAAAAAATGACGGAGGGACGGGCATATAGTATGATGCATGCTGTGCGTCCGTTCGTCCGTTCGTTCGTCCGAGGACTTCCCGTGGTCCGATCTTGACCAAATTTGGTATGCAGCCTCCTTGGGTGACCCTAAGAACCGCCCGGTGGCAGCAAATCCGATCCGAGCCCCGGGGGCGCTGCTGCAGGTGCATCATGGTCTACATGGGGTCGAGGAGGATCTCGGCAACGGATGCAGCTAGGAGGGCATGTAGGGGTATTTTTGGAATCGGAGCGACGAGAGAAAACCAATGGTGCCAGTTTCGAGCAAATCGGAGAAGTTCGGACCCGGGTTCAAATCCCAGCGGGGTATTTTTGGAACATTCTTTTTTTTTCGAGTTTTTGCATTGTTTCTGATGTTTATGAGGGTGCTGATGACGAAAACGACATTTATTTTAACCCCAGACTCAGATTTAATTCCCGTCAGGGTCAAACATAGGAGAAATTCGTACGTTTCTTAATGTACGGGACGGGCCAAAGTTGCCGATGTATATCGCTACTTTTCCTGTTATTGAAATGCAGTCTGCGACTTTTCTGCCCGAAGGTCTTCCGCTACACTCGCATCCTTCAATCGACATTTCATCAAAATTCATTGACGTTCTACATGAATTCTAACAAAAATGCTCATACGCTTATTACTGCGCGCTAACGTCAATTCGTCGATAAACCATAACCCAGGACGAGTCTGAGAGAGAGCACTCGATTGACCCGATTTGCCACACAATCGTTCCACGGTATTTCGCATGTTGCTCGTGCCTTGTTGGCGCCGTGACCCGACTTCCGGTCAACCCAAGCATTGCGTCGAAGTACGACGCGAGGGTCAGTGTGGGGAAAATGGGACAGCTAATTCTTAGTCAAGAATCGACATTTTAGTCGGGGGTCGTCAACTTGCATATTACTTCGCACACAAGCTGTATATTACTCGTAATTACTCTTATATTACAGCTAAAAGTCTATAAATTTTACCTATTAGGCTACTCAGATCATAGGTAGCACAAAAATATCGGCCTAAAAACGGTAATATGGGGTGTACATTATCCTATATTACTGTATGACTTCGTACACGCGCGATGTGACTTGAAGACCCCTCGATTTTAGTACTTCTGCCGTAGCAAATGTTATTTTCTTAATAAAAACATCACATTTGGTATTTGTTGTGCGTTCTAAAATGTCAAACCTTGACTAAGAATCAGCTGTCCCAATTACCCCAACTGACCGCAAGGCCTTCATTCTCTTCGTAGTTTCCAAGCAGGAGTCTAGTTGAGATGTATCCATTTTTCATTTGGATTCTTTCCGAAACTGTTTTGAATTGAGTCAAATAATTTGGTGTGCTGATGCGAACCATCCCGAGGCACAATATTAAGGTTAAAAGCCAATAGAGCATTCTAGTCGTCGCCGATCGAAGAACAAGAAGAACAAGGTTTTGTTCTTCGATCGTCGGCGACTAGAAAACTCTATTTGGACGTAAGTCGAATTATTCCCTTCTTCCGCTTCCTGAATCAATGATTGTGAATACTTAGGAACTAATTTGCTTATAGTTGGACTAAAAAATATTCCTGTGGACACATTGAATTTTATGGACAATATTGAAACCAACGTTAACATGATAATCCATGGCTTTTATGATACTATGCATAGATGTTCACAACTTTGTCCATCGGCGCCCATCGGCGCGACACATCTCTTTGCCTCCAGAGCAAGGGAGCAAAATAAGAATACGGCTCAAGGACAAATTTGTTTCTAGAGACTTTTTTATGGACATTATCGTGAACCTTGTTACGGACGTCTGTGAACAATTCAGCGCTGAGCTTGTATACAAAAATGCTTTCGAAAGCCTGTGGACATAGTTGTCTAGGGTTTGCGTCTAAATTTGTCACCGTTTCGTAACGTATCTAAAATCACGTTTCCGCCATGGACACTATGCCGTTCGGTACCTGGTGACAGAAATGTCCAGGATATTTGATAAGTGGTATTTTACTGGGTTTCAGAATGTCCCGCGAGCGTGAGCCCCGTCACCGCACGGCTGGATCGTCAGCGTCCGTGCGTGCTCCACGCGGTGCCTGCAATGGAGAGAAGCGTCTGGAGTGCCCAGTGTGCGAGAAGCAGTTCGCCTTTAGAAGTCAACTAGAAACGCACCTTCGGACCCACACCGGGGGGAAGCCTTTCGAGTGCCCAGTTTGCAGGAAGAAGTTCAATCAAAGTGGAGATCTTACAAAGCACCTGCGCACCCACACCGGGGAGAAGCCTTTCGAGTGCACAGTTTGCAAGAAGAAGTTCAATCAAAGTGGATATCTCAGAACGCACCTTCGCACCCACACCGGGGAGAAGCCTTTCGAGTGCCCAGTTTGCAGGAAGAAGTTCAATCAAAGTGGAGATCTTACAAAGCACCTGCGCACCCACACCGGGGAGAAGCCTTTCGAGTGCACAGTGTGCCAGAAGAAGTTCAATGAAAGTGGAAGTCTCAGAACGCACCTTCGCACCCACACCGGGGAGAAGCCTTTCGAGTGCCCAGTTTGCAGGAAGAAGTTCAATCAAAGTGGAGATCTTACAAAGCACCTGCGCACCCACACCGGGGAGAAGCCTTTCGAGTGCACAGTGTGCCAGAAGAAGTTCAATGAAAGTGGAAGTCTCAGAACGCACCTTCGCACCCACACCGGGGAGAAGCCTTTCGAGTGCCCAGTTTGCAAGAGGAAGTTCTCTGTAAGTGGTACTCTCAGAACACACCTTCGCACCCACACCGGGGAGAAGCCTTTTGAGTGCACAGTTTGCAGGCAGAAGTGCACTCACAGTGCAGATCTCCGAAAGCACCTTCGCACCCACACAGGGGAGAAGCCTTTCGAGTGCACAGTTTGCCAGAAGAAGTTCACTGAAAGTGGAAGTCTCAGAAAGCACCTTCGCTCCCACACCGGGGAGAAGCCTTTCGAGTGCTCGGTTTGCAAAATGAAGTTCACTAAAAGTGGAAGTCTCAGAACGCACCTTCGCACCCACACCAGGGAGAAGCCTTTCGAGTGCGCAGTTTGCAAGAGGAAGTTCTCTGTAAGTGGTACTCTCAGAGCACACCTTCGCACCCACACCGGGGAGAAGCCTTTTGAGTGCACAGTTTGCAACAAGAAGTTCAATCAAAGTGGGTATCTCAGAACGCACCTTCGCACCCACACCGGGGAGAGGCCTTTCGAGTGCACAGTTTGCAGGCAAAAGTTCACTCTAAGTGGACATCTCAGAAAGCACCTTCTTACCCACACCGAGGAGAAGCCTTTCGAGTGCACAGTTTGAATGAAGTCCACTTTAGTGGTAGAATGCAACTCCAAGAAAGCACCTTTGTGGCGCACACTGAAGACGACTGAGTGAGTGAAGAGCTTTCACATGAGTTGATTTTATGATGTTCTTACTTCTCACGTTAGCAGTATTGTATGAAAAATTCTTCTGCTATGATCTTTGGATCGCGCTTGTGCCATTTCAATCGGAATGCCCACGGTCCTGCATTGCTCGGTGCTTGGAGTGTAATGAGGACAAGTTGGCCAATACACTCAGCTCACACTGGCGTTAATCCTTGTATGTTCTTAGGGGGTACTCTTGACCGTTTCATAAGCACTTCTAACGTGCTGTGAAACTTCGTTCTGTATTCACTACAGTCGTGAGCAATCGTTTTAAACTGTCAATGGACGACCCGAAATGTGAAGGTTTAGTGGCCTTTTATTTTTTTTCTGAGCAATTGACTGTATTCATGTGTTAGCAGCTTGAAGAAAGTGCACGTTACTAAAGGCATAGGTCTGTTTGGTTACTGGTGTAAAATTTACCTTCAAAATGTTTGTGGGCTTTCATAATAACTAAATGATTAATCTTGTCTTATTATTTAAGGTATTTGCTGTGATTAGTTTCGCTTTTACTCACTCTTCAGTCTCTTTTATGTAACTTACTTCGAGTTATTTCTCGCCATGAAAAAGCTTATGGGCTTTTTATGGGTCTCAGTTTATTTAGTTTAGATAGCTTGTTTACATTCTATCGCTTTCTTCTCTTGAACAAAGTACATTTGTGCCCACTGCAATATTGAAACGTTTTAATTGCCTGAGGTCCGGATTTCAGTACAATTGTGACTTTGTAGACCTACATTGTAATTGCCCGTCTTTTGTTTTCGTATGTTTGTTGTTAAAAATATGTGGGTTTAATAATAAAATCTGTCTCCATGATTCGTAAGGCGAAAGTAGTTTCCTTTCATAACCTTCCTTACCGTTGAGGCAACAATTGTTGCCCAGTAGGAAAGTGAAGTCGCATTTTCTGCATCTCGCCACGCTGGTCCGACAATCGGGTCTCAAATCCGACTCCTTTCTGGTTATGAAGTGGCCGTTTCCCGCGTGCTAAACAGTGCGAGGAGACGATTGAGGGTCCCCGTGTCGAAAAACAGATTCCTGAAAGACCTCAAGTAGTACTGCAAGTCCTTTAGGCCTGCTAGTCCTGCCCGCCTATTGTTCGCACTCCCGAGGCAAGTCCTTGTGGGTCCTTCTCATGTGCGCGCCGGTGTTTGCTGCACGCAAGTCCTTATTGGTTCTTAATTCTAGGAAGTCCTTGCTTTAGCGGGCAGGTCAGTGACCTGCAGCAAGCTTCGCCCGTGGAGCTATCGAAAGTACAAAATTTCGCGAAATAACCTGTCTTGATCGTTCTTGCAAAATCCTCAAATATTGTTTTGGGATGAAATTTTGCTCTTTCGATGGCTCGATGTTCAGTTGTAGTTCATGCGGTGGACACGGGGTTGAGATATCTTCATTTTTTGCGGACTGAGGGATTTTTACCAGTTCGGGTTTTGACGAAAATGATGAGTAGCTGATCCGCTCTCTGACGTCCGCCATTCTGGGCTTAAAATGCTTCTTTTCGTAAGGTCTTGACTCATGAAAAGTATTAACAACGTACCACATCGCGTATAGAAGCAATCGCACATATCAGTCCGCCTCGGGAGGTTCACTTTTACACTAAGTAAATCAGCTTATTATGGTTGCACAAATTACTTGCATGAGATTTGATAAGATAACCAAAAGTTCAGTAACGCGCTAACAGTGTGTTTCGACAGGACACGGTGTGGCGTACTCTACATTGTTAGATGTTAAGTTGCCCGTGGTTTTGGCAGAATTCTACGCGCAACGTTTCGTCAGGGCAGAGTGGAAGTCCCCTATGCTGCTCTGACGCAAGGCATGAAAGAGTGATTCAAAGCAAACGCCGGAGCCAGTTCGCAAACCCGTTGTGTGCTTACTGCGTGTGGAGGTTAAGGCGGGTAGCAATGTAAAAACCATTCTTTAATAATTTCACACATTTATTACAACCGAGCTTAACTCATACCGTTGTCCGATGGACCCTTTCAGAATGGTCAAGTGAAGAACACAAGTAAATCAAAGCAGAAACCAGCTACGCGCCACCTAGCGGCCACTGCTGTAAACTTCGTCCAGACTTTTGGCTACTCAGGTTCAGCTTTTGACAGTTTACAGTAACGGCCCTTGCATGGCGAGCCACTGGTTCCTGTCTTTCTGAATACTTTGGCTCTTCACTCGGCGATGGCTGAACATGCCATTTAAGTACTGTTTCCGGTTCCAGAATCTTCCTATCCATTTCACTTGACGCTCTGGTGGAAAAGTGGAACTCGAAAGGGAGTGCAAAGGATCAAAAGTCGGCGTACTCGTTGGTAGGTACACCTTTAGCGCAAACTTATGTTTGGATCAAGTGTAGCCAATGAATCTTGAAACGGAAGAAAAAGAACGCGCAGATGCTGTGATGAGGGCTCACTTTTCATCTTTTCGTTCCGTTTCAAGATTCATTGGACTTAGTTACGCCTGACGACGTTACGCTAGAAGTAAAGCATTCACTATAAATTCCGCCTCAGGACACTCTCAGCCGTTTACTGACTATTTCTCATTAGCAGACGTATTTCTGTAAGCAACCATAATACTTAGTATTTAGTTCTTAAATACTTAAAAATTTCTTTGTAATTTACTAAGAAAACGGTAATATCAGTACAGTAATTAGCAATTGCTAAGTAATCCTGACAAAAAATACTAAGTATTATGGTTGCTTACAGAAATGCGTAAGCTGATGAGAAAAAGTCAGGAAAAGGCTGAGAGTGGAGGAATCTGGGCGGATGAGCTTGTTAGGGTTGACGCAAAGTGCCAAGCGTAATCTGATTGCACTTTCTTTTCTCATTCGCGTCCACGTCAGGACCTTTTCGCCGCACTGACTGGACTACCACGTTATCTCTTGGCCCACAGCGCTGGCCTAAATTGAACAGCATAGTACGGTTGAGTACGCATCTTCACTGATATTCGAACGTTGTCGTCGTTTTCCACTCCAGACCGGCTCCGTCTTTGCAGTGGCAGCCCACCTGACTGAAGGAAGGAGGATCCTGACCGAGAAGGACGAACGGCGCGTCTTCAGGAACGGCACGTGTTTCCACCAGCGTCTCCACGCGGCGACGTTCTCCGAGTCCTCTGCATGTAAGTGATATTTCGCCGGACTAAACTCGATCCCCCGACGTGAGCGAATTCACCGGAAGTCGAGTTGCGTCGGCCAATCAGAAACCTCACATGGAATAGCTATAGACATCTTAGTTTTCAGTTACCGAACGGCTTTGTGTCCATGGTGGAGACGTTTTTACACAATTCCAAATGGCGACAAATTTAAACACAAACCATAGATAAATATATTCGCATGTGTTTGGAAGTTCACGAGAACAGCAGTCTGCATGGCTTACATATAAACTGAGAGGTGATACTTATCATCAGCATGTTGGTGAGTTCAAATCATTTCCGCCCAACTTCGCTCCCACATGGACTGGTTTCAAATTTTAGTTCGAAGCCACCATCACTCGATAACCAGTCTTGTTTAAAACGTACTGAACCTATTAGGCACTCGGAGCAGCCGCTCTGAATTATTTTGTGGACAGCCACTGGAAATAGAAAGGTGAGACTTCTGACCGCTATAACGGTCTTACTGAAATGTACGACCGAAAAAGGGTCATACTGAAACGTAAGACCGAAAAAAACGGCATACTTCGATGTATGACCGAAAAACGGTCATACTTTATAGTGTATCACAGGTAAAGGCTGATATATCCCCAAGCTAGACAATAGCCAGTCTCGCTAATGTCCCACCTTTTTTGGGTCATACATTTAAGTATGGCCGATTTTCGGTCATACATTTGTGTATGACCGTTTTTCGGTCATACTTTTTGTATCATCGAAAATCGGTCAGATGTCTCACCCTTCGAATTTCAGTGGGGTGACTGCTTCTGATGGTATCCAACGTTGAAAGCAAACCATAACATTGGTTTCTGTAGGGGCAGACTCATGATGAAAATGACTTGGTGTTCATGAACTTGTATGATTTTCACAGTGTTACAAGCAACAGGCATTCCACTGGTTATTCAGGTATAGACACGCGAATAGTCCCCAACGCATGTACGCATATACTTCGTTATAGGAAGAAATAGTTCTTTAATTACGAAGTATTTTCTTTGTAAGCTTATGTTTGCTCAAAATACTTTGTTATACAAACTTCTTTTCTTTGTAAGGCCGAAGGTTTTCTCAGTGCAGTTTAAAATGGTCGCTTGCCTTACTTGTAATCAGCTGTTAGACGCAATTTAAAATATAATTTTTCTTGCTCTGTGTCATTATGACTCGTCATGAACGGTCTGTGCGTTGAAGACTTTTCGTGTCTCAATACTTGAATACCCAGTGGAATGCCTGTTGCTTGGAATACTGAGAAAATCATTCAAGTTTTAGAACACGAAGTCACCTTCATCATGAGTCTGCTACTACAGAAACCAATGTTTTGGTTTGCTTTCAACGTTGGATACCATCAGAAGCAGTCACACTGTCCACAAAATGATTCAGAGGGGCTGCTCCGAGTTCCTAGTAGGTTTAGTGCATTTTAAACAAGGTAGGTTTACGCCAGACCGCGTCTTCTCGTAACAGGCTTCGCGATGTCTCGCTGCTTGTTCCTCCAATCCACGCCTGGCGTACCTACCTTGGCCTGCGGCGCTAGCCTGCCTTCGGCAGGCAATGGCTTTTCCGTCCCTTGTCGGTTATTTTTTTAACTCGTTACATGCTGGGGGGCTCCGCCCCCCAGACCCCCCTACATTCTAGGTAGAGATGCTTTATCTACAGATAAAACGATCTTAACCCTTGTAACTTTTTCACTCGTCGGGGCTGGGGGGCTCCGCCGCCCAGACCCCGCTTTCTTTAAGACAGAAGTGATCCATCTGCAGAAAACTCGATTTTTCGCCGTTTTTTAGGTGTTTTTCGACCATAAAAACTGAACCAGTTGAGCTAGGATAGTGAAATTTCGCGTGTGCCGAGCCAAGGACATACCCAAAAAGTGTGCAAAATCTCACCGAGATCGGCCGAGCCGTTCAGGAGGAGTAGTGCGGATACACACACACGCACGCACGCACGCAGACAGGAAAAACTTTTCAACCCCACCTGAGTAACGGGCTTCGCTATCGCTCAGCCAACAAAAGACTGGTTATGGAGTGATGATGGCTTTGCTCTAAAATTTGAAACTAGTCCATGTGAGAGCGGAGTTGGGTGGACATGATTTGATCTCACCAACATGCTGGTGATAAGTTTCACCACTAAGTTTTTATGTAAGCCATGAAGACTGCTGTCCTCGTGAACGGTTTGTCTGATGAGTCTAGCCTTTGTCGCCCAATTAAATTTCAACTGTCTCGCCAAAATGAGCATTGCATTTGTCTCGTTGAAAGAAACGTGACTGCTTTCCAGCTGGCTGTTGTCATGCTAAAATAAGTATGACAAATCAACCAATCCTGTCACGTTCGTTTGAGTGTGATCTGTCAGGTTTAAAGGAACCCGATAGTTTTCTTATTCAATGGAACGTGACGTCACATTCGTTGAAAAACTGTGATATGCGAGTTGACGACCCCTCGCGTTAAGTTGAGTTATATTTAGTTTTCTTGTGGTATTTCTCCTCAGCTCTTTAGATTCGGGTCAAATAATTTGCTGTAATCCCAAGGCACAATAATAAGATAAACAATTGAGATGTGGGTGAAAATTTGCATCAAACTTGATAAAAATGATAAATTTAATCCATTTGTTATTTTAATGTAAAATATTCTTCTATTACCGACAGCATGTCCTAAAGGTCTGTGTTATGAACCCCTAAGTGAGTGGTTCATTTAACATGGACTGATGTATGCATGCGCCTTTTCTGGTCACCCAACTCTTACGACAAGTGTCGAAGAAATTTTTTTTCTACTCCGTCAACCAGCCACGCATACAGTTTTGTTTTATACTGACCCTACTTTTTGGACTAGTTCTTTGTGGTCCATGTAACAATGTAACAGAGAGATATTTCAAATAGCTATCCACTTTCTTAAATCGTTTACCTTCAAGTGGTAAAAAATGGAGAAAAAAAACTTATTTTTTCCAATTTAAGAATTGTAAAGTATCCCCCGTTCAAACAAAAAAATTAAATTCAAATTTCTCTCCGTTCCATTGAAGTAAAGGAGGGCTTAAAGTAACTCCAAAACAAATTTCAGATCATTCCATCAAAAAACTTCGCGTGGCTGATTTTTTTTACTAAACGCTTAATTTCAGTGAATAAAGCCTACTGTGGCTAAATGGGTGGGCAGATTTGGATGAAATTTGGTGTGTAATAGTTTCCCACCTAGTACTTAAACGCCTTAAAGCGTCAACCACCACAGCCAAGTGGTATAGAAGTTTCCATTTTCACCCACACCTTAATTTGGAGATGGTAATAATTATTCCCTTCTTCCGCTTCCTGGATCATATTTGTTGACATCTGCAGTTAGGACAGTACTGATTTGACACTAACAGTTAGGATGCCTCCAAAAGTCTGTGGGCATGTTTGTCAATGGTTTGGTTCGTGTTCCCGCCATAGACCCAATACCGTTCGGTACCTGGTAAAAAAAAATGTCCATGGTAATTTCACGTAGGATTTTACTGTGTTTCAGAATGTCCCGCGAGCGTGAGCCCCGTCACCGCACTGGTGGATCTTCAGCGTCCGGGCGTGCTCCACGCGGTGTCTGCAATGGAGAGAAGCGTCTGGAGTGTCCAGTGTGCGAGAAGCAGTTCGCCTCAAGAAGTAAACTAGAAAGGCACCTTCGGACCCACACCGGGGAGAAGCCTTTCGAGTGCTCGGTGTGCCAGGAGAAGTTCACTCAAAGTGCATCTCTCAGAAGGCATCTTCGGACCCACACTGGGGAGAAGCCTTTCGAGTGCACAGTTTGCAAGAAGAGCTTCAATGAATGTGGAAGTCTCAGAAAGCACCTTCGCACCCACACCGGGGAGAAGCCATTTGAGTGCACAGTTTGCCAGAAGAAGTTCGCTCAAAGTGGAGATCTCAGAACACACCTCCGCATCCACACCGGGGAGAAGCCTTTCGAGTGCACAGTTTGCAAGAAGAAGTTCGCTCAAAGTGGACACCTTAGAGGACACCTCCGCTTTCCACACCGGGGAGAAGCCTCTCGAGTGCACAGTTTGCAAGAAGAAGTTCGTTCGTAGTGGACATCTTCGAACGCACCTCCTGACGCACACCGGGGACACGCATCGTGAGTGAATAAGTTTGGACGAGCTTCATCTTCAGGACATTGTTCATACGGCGCATCATTTATGCTATTCACTTTCATCAATTCTGTTTGAAAGAACGTTGGAACTGCGCCTAAGCCATCGTGGTCATGATTCCTGTGTTTCTTCAGTGCTCTGGGTACGGTTGTTACTTGTGCCAGTTGACAAATACTGACTGTTTACATTGGATCCAAGCCTTTCATGGTCCTTGTGTGGACGCCCAATCGTTCCGTGCAATTTCCCTGGTTAAGGGGGCAGTGGCGCTTTGGGCACGTTTTATTTCAATTTTTTCCAACTTTTTGTTTTGACCTCTATGAAAAATATTGGCATGAATGGTTAACACAAACAGCGGTACCCATCTTAAAGCACGAACATATTACAACTATTTCAAAACACAATTTTTTTAGCACCTAATCAGGGAGGAATATGGTGCGCGTTAAAAAGGTCTGCAAAATTATGAATGGTGTCACTACGCTCACAATTTCAGCCAAAGTTTCATTTTTTTAAATTTTTTTTGCTACCGGTAAGCTGTACCTAAAACAGCATAACTTTCCCACAAAATGAACCCCAGGGGCCAAAATCGGACGGGAAATACTGCTACATATTTAGTATCGGACGAGAAAGATTTCTTAAAGATAAGTAACTTTTCTCGTAGTATTTTTTCGTCTGATTTTAACCCCCGTGGTTCATTTTGTGGTCAATTTTATGCGCTTTCAAATGCACTTTACCGATTGCGAAAGAGTTGAAAACTTTGGCTGAAACGTGCGTGCAGTGACACCATGCATAATTTTGCATCCTTTTTTTACGTGCTTCCTATTCTGCCCTTATTTTGTGCTGAAATAAAAATTTATTTTTGAATTTGTGGTAAAATGTTTGCACTTTAACATGGTCACCGCCGTTTAACTCCAGCGTTCATGCCATTATTTTTTATTGAGGTGCAAACAGAAAGTTGGAAAAAAATTGAAAGAACCGTGAACGAAGTGCTACGATTTTTTTTTATATATGAACTTACTATTTCCTAAGAACTTGTTTTATCCAAAATTGGTTTGTGACGCTTTGGTAAAATGCTTTAGCTTCTAGACTTCAGTTTTTATTTATGTTCATTGTGCTTCCTGAGACTGCGCCTTACCGCGACCTTGTCCTCAGAAGCCTCTCGAGAACGCAACCAATTAGTGAAGGTGAAAGCTTCTGTACGGACATTGTTTGGACCAACGGAATAATTCTGTAAATTTGAAAAGGGCGTGACGAATACGTCGAAGCTTCGTGGTTTTGTTTTGAATTCTTGTACCTGGGAACATTGCTTTTGGATACATTAAACTTGGTTCGTGTTTTGAATTTCTTGAAGGTGTCTTATTAAGTTTCAGCTTTTCCCTGCCAAAACGTTTTTGTTTCTTCTGAAAAATGGCTAAAAGGGAGTTAATTCCTGTTTCGCTTCCTGGATCAATCACCGTTGTTGATGAAGGTTCAGACGGGTATGAGGCAAGAAAGCAATGTTTGTTTATCGGGAAGCAATTGAAAAAAAAAGTTATCGGATATCATATTTAACCCCATCTCCCCTTGAGTCTCAAACGGTCACGGTTATGACACACCCTGACACCCTTCCTCGTGACGTCAAGTCATTGTTCTTGGCACCGTGGATACGCGACTTGGTTGTCCTAGGTGCCGAAATAGAGATTTCATAAAAATTTGATTGCGTATTGACAAATCCGGTCGGATCCGCTTGAATCCACTTGTTCGAATAAATCTGAACAAAGTGCAGCTGTAATACTTCAGCCAGTGACAATTTGCGCAGAAGTACACTGCAAGAAACAGTGTGGATAGCACAACAAAATTACAACAACAACAACTGTACAATAAAAGTACAATGAGAATGGTACAAACAACGAGCCCTGGACGGCACAGCACTAATCATGCCGGCTCCATTGTACTTAGAACAACAATTGTTGTACTTGAAAAGTACACTAAATTCCAGATAAAAAATTTGCCAGAAATTTTTGTACTTTTGTTGTGGTTATTTCCTGCAGTGTAGCTAGAGATTGCTGATTTCAGTTCATTTTTAAGTGGCACACGCACATGGCATTGTTCACACTGCTTAATAGCGTGATGTCACAAAAAGCTGTGATGTCCCGTGCCAAATTGTACATGAACTTTAGAGTGTGCACTTCCTTTTCTCGTTCACGTCCGCTTCAGGCTCTCTTTCGACACTGGCTGGCCTACCCGGATTTCGCTTGGCCCACACAGCTTGCCTACACTGAAGAACACCGAACGGGTGAGTACGCAGCACCGCCCTAACGTTACTGTTCTTCATCCGAGATCGGTCCATCTTTGTTGTCGCCCTGAAGGAAGGAGTTAACCCTAACTAAGACCTGGAAACGGCGATTGGTCAGGAAGGCACGTTTCCCGACTAGCGTCTGTACAAGGCGACGTGCTCTGAGTCTTCTACGTGTAAGTAATGTTTCGCCGGACCAACCTCGGCCCGTCCACGGAGGAAAAGTCGCCGGAAGTCAGGTTGCGTCGGCCAATCAGAAACCTGCCACTGATGACAGGCGGCTCGTTTTCTCAATTGAGAACGCAACCAGCCTTCCGGTAATTTTGAATCTTTTCGGCGTTCAAGGTCGTGCGAGGTAGACTCACTTCGGTCCCTCGGCACAGTGGTTTAAAATGCTGTTTTAGGGGGAATAAGTAGATTTTTCAAAACTGTTTTGGAGGCATGCTGGGGGTTGGAAACGGACTATAATACTCCAATATAACGTAAAATAACGTTCATAGATTTTTAAATTGAGCCGGGAGCCACGGGGAAAGGTTTTATTCTAGTATTTTGTATTTTAGGCAATTTCACTTCATTTTCTTCCATTTTTCCGACCACCATTTTTTTCGGTAGGGCGATGGTACTGATAAGCTGGCGTCTTTTTCTCTTAGTTTCATCACTAGACAAAGGAAAGCAGCATATAGCACAACATTCCGTTTGCGCTTGGGCCCACGGTTGCGGTTTTTTGCTATAGATACGTTCAAAACCTTTATAAACACACTCCTTGAGTTTTGGTCATCTATGTGAGCGTATGTAGCTGAGTTATTGGTGCGAGGCGCTTCTCTTACATGTATATTTACATGTCCCGGCGATAACTTTTCCGCATACGTCCGCATCACGAAACGCAAGGGGACCAACACCACAAAAACGTGCCAAATTGATAAGTTTTGGGGTTAATCGCTTCTGGTGTGCACCATTCAAAATGAAAAAAACATTAGTGCGATTGTTTTTCGTCGTTTCAAATATTTTGTTTTTCTTGGTAACAATATGGTTTAATGCGACTCAGAAGTTAAAACTAAGTATTTTGAGCATTTTTTAGTTTTGCACTTTTTGTCAATTCTGTCATTTTTCTTCTAATTTTGCTATTTTTCCCATTATTTTAGGATTATAAATCCAATTTTTATCGGACCACCTTTTCCTTTGAACTGGTCTTTGCCTATTGTCTAAAGATGATTCAGTTCAATTCTGGTTGCATTTGGTCGCATGGGACGCTCGCTAGAACTTATTCCCCCGAAAATCGCATTTTAAACCACTGTGCTCGGGGAAAGAAAGAGTCCGGAAGTCGGGTCGCTTACTGAGTGGATGTTTCTGACCGGCGGACCCACCCGACTTCCGGTGTCTCTATCCTTTCTTTACGAAGGATCTGTGGATGCAGCGCGCTAGTCTTCAGTGCTCCGTAACCTGTGCGACGCACAGTGGGTCAGAACCCCTATTTCCGTGATCATAGGGTCAAAATTCAAAGTGACTTCGGACCCCATCCAACACCGATTCTCCACTTCAAAATGTCCACTGAACCCAAATCAAGCGTCGGTTCGGCGATAGGACGCATCGTATTTGAATGGCAGGGCTGCAAAGTCAGAATTTGTATCTATATTTTTTCATGATTTGGGGTAAATCGCACATTATCGCTTCCTCCCAGTTTGGATGCAAACCAATCCAGGTAACCTGCATCCCAGCACGGAACTTTAATTGATTCTGTGTAGAAAAGTGCCGTGAGTGAACCGGACCCGAACTTCGTCCGTCTAAGGGTTTTACAGACAACGCTTTTAAGCAAAATGTTGCCCAAAATGCCCAAATTCGACATAAATTGGAGGAAAAGTTATGTAACCCCCCTTTACCCCCCGACCATTTCAACTGGGATTGGTAGGTGGCGCATTCCATCCCAAATCGGCCACTTTTGTAGGTCACCATTTCGGATCACGATGAAAATTTTTTTGTGGGTAGACCTTATCAAAAAAACATTCTGTGCAAAATCTCAGCCAGATCGGTCGAGTAGTTCCTGAGAAAAGCGCCCTCAAAGTTTTAGTCAAAACTTCATTTAGGTGGTTTGAGCTAATTCGCACTTTTTCACGTTTTGGCCGATAACTCCGTCACTATTCAAGCTACGATGATTCCCGGAACGGTTTCTGAAAGGGAATACTGTGAGGATGCAGAAAATGTACTTAGATTTGAGATACGACTAGGTAAAGGTGGTGAAAAGTGCGAAAAATCGCAGAAAATTTTTTTTTTGGACCAATTTTCAGTGAGATTTCCGGCCTATGCCCATATCGTGAAAATCCAAACCGAATAGCGGAAATTGTAGTCCATACCATGCCCAAACACGCTACGATCTCGGAATTGTTGGGTGTGGGTCTAGTTTCGGAGCTGCAGCGACTTGAAAATTCGTAAAAATAGGTCAAATTCTGTTTTTGGCCAACGTGCACGCGGGCAGTGTTTTTTATTGAACAGGCTCCACGCGGCATGGGTAGCTTTGTTCAGATACCCCTTTTTGACCTTAGTTGAAGATTTAAGGTTCCCCATTTGAACAATGCAATCGATATTGTTCGAACAAGTGTCCTGGATCCACGAAAAACGAAAGCTAGGAACGCCTGCAGGGGGTAGGCAACCCAACTGGCTCGCCGTCCGGTCTTGCCTACTGCACAGGCGCTCGGGCCACTTCAGTCGGCCAGCTATGGCAGTGTCTTTCTCTCTCTCTACCCCCCCCCCCCCCCCGGCCATTCCGTCCATGGCAGTGTCTTTCTCTCTCCCCCCCCCCCCCCCCCCCCCCCCCCCCCGCGGCCATTCCGTCCAGGTAAGTGGGGCCGTCGACGGTGTCCGAGACCAAGGAACGGCTGGCTCTCCGTACACCAACGCAGCACAGGGCTCTGCAGACCGATTCCGAGGGTCGTTTTCGTCGGTCTGTCTCTCTCGCACCTATACGGCAGGGCACAGCCCGTGGGTGCGAGAGAGAGCGACGGAAACGACTCTCGGCCGATGACCGCGCCGGGCGTTTCGGGAGACGATCGGGAGAAAATTCGTATAAATAGGTCAAATTTTGTTTTTGGCCAAAGTGCACGCGGGCAGTTTTTTTAGAACAGGCTCCACGCGGCATGGGTAGCTTTGTTCAGATACCCCTTTCTGACCTTAGTTGAAGATTTAAAGGGTTTCCCCCTTTGAACAATGCAAACGATATTGTTCGAACAAGTGTCCTGGATCCACGAAAAACGAAAGCTGGGAACGTCTGCAGGGGGTACACTGCGAGAAAAGATCACGGTAAATCCTGTACTGATTACTTCAGACTTCACCATACTTTTTTTAAGGGGGCTCATACATGTTAAAAGCACTTTTCTAAAAAAAAATTTTGATGTAGACGGATTAAGATTTTACAATTTCTGTGTTAAAATCCTTTTAGATAATTGAGTAAGCTTCATTTTGGCTCAAGGGAAAGTGACTTTGGACATTTTTTAGAGATTTAGTCGAAACGTTTAAAATTTTGCTTCTCGTAAGATTTTGTTCGCATACTTGCTCAGATCTGTGGGGAAAAAATCAGGGAGACTCATCCCCAGTAGTGTCATAGAATTGACTACAATGGGCTTTATGTCTGCAATAGTTTTCGAGAAAAAAAATAAAAACAATTTTTTAAACAATTTTTTAAACAAATTTTTCAACAAAAAATTGTTTTTATTTTTTTTCTTGAAAACTATTGCAGATATAAAGCCCATTGTAGTCAATTCTATGACACTACTGGGGATGAGTCTCCCTGATTTTTTCCCCACAGATCTGAGCAAGTATGCGAACAAAATCTTACGAGAAGCAAAATTTTAAACGTTTCGACTAAATCTCTAAAAAATGTCCAAAGTCACTTTCCCTTAAGCCAAAATGAAGCTTACTCAATTATCTAAAAGGATTTTAACACAGAAATTGTAAAATCTTAGTCCGTCTACATCAAAATTTTTTTCTAGACAAGTGCTTTTAACATGTATGAGCCCCCTTAACAGGCAATACCGTACCTTTTTTTACAGGCAACACCGTACTTTCTTTACAGGGAATCCCGTACTTTTTTGCCCGGCAATCCCGTACTTTTGGTACGTATCAAAAAGGCAGGGTCGACATGAGCCCCATCCCGATTGAGCCCCGATGATCTGAGCCCCGGTCAGATCCCCGTTTGAGCCCGACTTGAGCCCTGACTCGAGCCCTGACTCGAGCCCCGACTGAGCCCCGATGGCCAGAGCCCCGATCTGAGCCCGGTTTGAGCCCCGACCTGAGACCCATTTGAGCCCCACGCAACAAAACTTCTATTTTTGAACTTTTTTAGTGGCGATTTTGCGTAATTTTGCAACTTTTTTGGCGCGGGGCTCATGTGGGGCTTAAATGGGGCTCAGATCGGGGCTCTGGCCATCGGGGCTCAGTCAGGTCTGGAGTCAAGGCTCGAGTCGGGGCTCGGCCGAGGCTCTGTCCGGGGCTCAGGTCCCCGGGGCTCAATCAGGACGGGGCCCATGTCGACCCTGCCATCAAAAACTGCTATCATTTTTTTCGGTCGGTTGACCCTCTTTTTCCAAGATCCTGATGAACGCAACTGCTGAAGTCCTGGACCCCCCTTCCGACCACTCGTTAAAAAGGTCTTGACGAGATCTATCGAGACGAGGGGGTATGCACTCGCGTAATAGTCGGTTCACTCTATCTCTGTAATAGCGTAATAGTCGAAATTGTCAAAATTTTATCAATTTTGGTGTGTTTTAGGCCGATTTTAGCTAAATTCCGATTAATTTGTGGTGTAATAGAGCGTAATAGTCGGTACACAGGTTCGGAGAGCGCATACCCCCTCGTATCGAGAGGTGCAATAAAAATTTTTTAGTCGATGTACGGAGAGCCAGCCGCGACTTGGTCTCGGACACCGTCGACGGCCTGCCTTACCTGGACGGGATAGCCGCGGGGGAAGAGGGAAAAGGGGGGGGGGGGGGGGTGGAGAGAGAGGAGAGAGAGGGAAAAACACTGGCCGACCGAAGTGGCCCGAGCGCCTGTGCGGTAGGCAAGACCGGTCGGCATACGGGCTAGCCCTGCAGGCGTTCCCAGCTTTCGTTTTTCGTGGATCCAGGACACTTGTTCGAACAATATCGATTGCATTGTTCAAATGGGGAACCTTAAATCTTCAACTAAGGTCAAAAAGGGGTATCTGAACAAAGCTACCCATGCCGCGTGGAGCCTGTTCAAAAAAAACTGCCCGCGTGCACTATGGCCAAAAACAGAATTTGACCTATTTTTACGAATTTTCAAGCCGCTGCAGCTCCGAAACTAGACCCACACCCAACAATTCCGAGATCGTAGCGTGTTTGGGCATGGTATGGACTACAATTTCCGCTATTTGGTTTGGATTTTCACGATATGGGCATAGGCCGGAAATCTCACTGAAAATTGGTCCAAAAAAACCAATTTTCTGCGATTTTTCGCACTTTTCACCACCTTTACCTAGTCATATCTCAAATCCAAGTACATTTTCTGAATCCTCACAGTTTTTCCTTTCAGAAACCGTGCGGGGAATCATCGTAGCTTGAATAGTGACGGAGTTATCGGCCAAAACGTGAAAAAGTGCGAATTTGCTCAAACCACCTAAATGAAGTTTTGACTAAAACTTTGAGGGCGCTTTTCTCAGGAACTACTCGACCGATCTGGCTGAGATTTTGCACAGAATGTTTTTTTGATAAGGTCTACCCACAAAAAAATTTTCATCATGATCCGAAATGGTGACCTACAAAAGTGGCCGATTTGGGATGGAATGCCCCAGGTGGATGCTGTAGATACTACGGGCAACCGGCCGTTCAACCGCACTTAGCCGCAATTTTTTTTTTTGCATCGATTTTTGAAAATAATAGCATTTTCAATACATAATTGGTTTTTGACGGTTATGTGTTTTTGCTACCCAATCGGCTTCAGCGCCTTCCCGCATCTGATTTATGTTGCTTCGTCTTGTTCAAACGTGTTTGAACGTGTCCATGCCTGTTCGGACGTGTTCAAGCGTGTTCGGACGTCTGAATGTGTCCAATTGGACTTAAGTTCAAACGTGTGTCCGAACACGTCTGAGCTTGTCCCAACATGTTCGAACGTGTTCAAACGTTTTCGAACGTTTTATCGGTACGCGTCGACGTTCTAACGTTGCGGTTAGTGGCGGTGTGTGTCGGGAATCCTCCCGTCTTGTTAAGTGAAAGAACTTGATACTGTTAAAACTCGTCGATACGTGTCGAAACAAGTCCAAAATTCACAATACGGGTTGGTACCGTTGAAACGACTCTGCGCTAAAACAAACTGTTCAGTGAGTGTTGGAACGTCTCAGGTTGCTTAGACGTGTCAACCCTTGTTGGTACTAGTCTACGCTCGATATAAGAATACACTCTCATTCCAGGAACGTGACATCACGTTGAAACGAACGCGACAAAGTGTCACGTTCGTTTGATCCGGTTTGAGCATTGTGTCACATTCGTTTGGATGTGTATCTACTAAAAATTAGCTTGTTCACATTCAAACGAATGTGACACAATGCTCAAACAAATGCGACATTTTGTCACGTTTGTTTCAACGTGATGTCACGCTCCTGGAATGAGAGTGTGCACTAGTTTGGGGTGCATTATTTATATCAGACACTAAATAAACCATACACCTTACACAAATACACAAAAAATCGTCAAAAACCTAAATTTTCACCGGATTTTAACGTTTTATTGACGAAAGATGCATGTTTTTGTTGTCTTGTGGTCCTGAAATTTTGCACAGCACCTGCTTATATCATAATCTATGCAACAGAATAGCAGTGTTTGCAATTTTGGGTTAATTGGATTTATACATTAGTCTAATATACCTTTAAACGACAATTATGCAAACCTGACTTTTTCCATCTCTAAAGGGACCTCTTAGGAAGCTTCAGTTAAAATTTGATCCAATTCGGTCGATAAACGGCTTTGCAGGAGGCCGTGATCACGAAAATAGGGGTTCTGACCCACTGTGCGACGGGGGAGAGATTGGACTGGGTGGCGGAACGGGGTCGGTGCAGCTGTGATGTGTTCATCCAGACAGGGGCTGTCCATTAACAAATAATACTAGGTATTTGAAAAGTTTATAATAATTTTTCAGTGTCCAAAAGACACTTTAACCCATTCCCTCACACAAGTCAAGGAGGTTTAGTTGCCGGCGCCAGTTCCCGTTGACTCTCCCTCTTGTTCTTCCATCGGCGACGACCAGAATGCTCTCTGACGTCACGCACTCGGGGCGTTCGGACGCACCCAATGTAGCGCAGCGTTACGCCGTTACGCTGGGCCAGACCCCTCACCCTCGGTAACAGCGTTACGGCACGCTTAATTTCTCATGTAAATACTTCAGTTATCCTCACTTACTGATTACGCTTATGAAATGTGTTCTCGTACTTAATGTAATGACCGTAACGTTACGCTGGCTTGGAGCCCCCGTCCTCCCATGTACCGCAGTGTTACGCTGAGGAGATATCCCCTCCCCCTTTCGCCCCTTGATTCAAAACGTAACAGGGTATTCCGCCTGACAGAGGAAAGGAACTGCAAGATGGCTGTCGCTACAACACCGCCAACCCTCACTTAGTTTCGGATTGTTCCTGGTCTGCGCGTGCGCTGAAAGCCCCGACCAGATCAATCTTAGGAAACAAGTGAGGGTAATTGTTATGTTCTCTGCGGCCATCTTGCAGTTTGTTCCCTTCCTCTTTCAGACGGAATACCTTATAGGGTACTTTCGTAGAATCCTGAACCGGAAGCAAGCAGACCAGCGGACGCCAAATTGGCCGGAAACTAACCTCTCTTCGGATCCAAAACTATGGCCGAGCTGTACAAATATTGCTCGCGAAACACATATGCACTGCAAACAAGTATCAAACGACTGTTTATGTTCAAGTGTGGCCGATACCTTTGACGAACGTCTCTTTCCCATGTCAGGTTTGGATCTACTTCCGCCAACATGCGTCTGTGTGCTTCCGGTTCAGGGATCTACGAAAGTACCCTATTGCTGGAAGAATAAAACACCTTGGCTTTTCTTGGCATTAGTTTTCATCTACTCATGTGCTTCCAAATGGATAACTTCATTACATCAAATTACTCGACCCAATTGTTAGCAGCTAAAGAGTTCAAGCAATTCCACCATACCCTCATGTTCTTCATAACACTGATGTTACGAAGCAAACGCTTTGTGGACTTTATTAGTTTTGTCGTTTTTCATCCAAGACCGTCTCTATCTTTGCAGTCGCAGTCGCCCTGACCCAAGGAAGGAGGACATCCTAGCCAAGGCCCTGCAAACAGCGAATCTCCAGGAAAGGCCTGTTTCTCGACTAGTGCCTCCACACGGCAACGAGCTCCGAGTCTTCTTCAAGTAAGTAATGTTTCGGAGGGCCAACGTAGGTCCCTCGACGCAAGCAAGTTGACCGGCAGCCGGGTCGCGTCGGCAAATCAGAATCCAGCCACTGATGACACGCGGCTCGTCTGGATAGGGCGCGAGGAACAGCGAACCGTCAGGGCACTGCAAAGAAACGTCCCCGGTGCTCGAGTGCCAGAGCGGCCGACGTTACGTAATGCAAATAGTAGCTGCGACACTGTATCCCTCGTTTGAAGCAAAGTTTGGGGTAGGATCAGAAAGTTTTTACTTCCGCCCAGAAGGAAGAGGTGCCCATAAGAATAATTTCTTCAATCGACTTTTATCAATATTCAATGACGTTCGTGCGCATTTATAGAGTTTTGCATGTCAAAAAATTGTTAAGACGAAATTGATGAAATGTTCATAATTCTAACAAAAGTGCTCATACGCTTTTTACTGCGCGCTAACGTCAATACGTTGATTAACCAAAACCAGGACGAGTCTGAGAGAGAGCACTCGATTGACCCGATTTGCCATACAATCGTTCCACGGTATTTCGCATGTTGCTCGTGCCTTGTTGGCGCCGCGACCCGACTTTCGGTCAACCCAAGCATTGCTTCGAAATACGACGCTAGGGTCAGCTGGGGTAATAATGGGACACGGGGTAAGATTGGGACAGCTAATTCTTAGTCAAGAATCGTCGGGGTGTCGTCGACTTGCATATTACGTCGTACACAAGCTGTATATTACTCGTACATTACTCTTATATAACTGCTAAAAGTCTATAAATTTTACCAAATAGGCTACTCAGATCATAGGTTGCACAACAAAATCGGCCTAAAAGCGGTAATATGGAATGTACATTACCATATATTACTTTATGACTTCGTACACGCGCGATGTGACTTGAGGACCCCTCGATTTCAGTACTTCTGCCGTAGCAAATGTTATTTTCTCAATAAAAACATCATATTTGGTATATGTTGTGCGTTCTAAAATGTCAAACCTTGACCAAGAATCAGCTGTTGTTCCATTTTCCCCCGTGACCCACAATTACCCCAACTGACCCCAAGGCCTTCAGTTTCTTCGTAGTTTCGAAGCAGAAGTCTAGTTGAGATTATCCATTTTTCAGTATTACTGTAAATGCGGGTAATTTGGACCACAGTGGGTAATGTGGACCAGCCCCGACATTCTTCTCTGCGGTCGGTGCTGCCGCCTAGCGGAGGCCTCGAAAACAATTACTGGCAATAACAACCGAACTTGCATGAACCGTGGCTCAAATTATGCCAATGAGACGGTGCTCCCAGACTCTAATTGAGATATCAGCTCGATTTACAGCAAATTTGAAGAAACTCATTTTTTAGCGTTTTTGGACTTTTAATGATAAACTTCAGTTGTGCAGCATTAACTACAAATAATGCGGCCGTTTCTGGTATTTATTCTTGTTTCCTCATGTTTTTAGACTACGTCTGTCGAAACTTGCCTCTCACAATCGAGTAATTGATGACTTATGAGGTTAAAAGTGAAAAATTGTAACTTTGCAGGGTAATTTGGAAAACGTTAAATGGCAGATACTGAGAAAAAATCAAAGTGTTTTGTCTTCGAAATCAAAATTTAAAAAAGTTTATATACATTGCTTGTCGCGGTTTTCAATACATACGGCGCAGGAGCGGTTTTAATGTCAAATTCCACAATGTTTCACTTTTATCAAAAAACCCTATTTTGATGGCGCAGGAGCCCTTACCGCGAGATTCAAGTAAGGCGCCCAAGACCAACACACTCCGAAAAGCTTTTACGAGTCTTTGAAGCCAATTGGAAACCCAAATCACCCTTCATAGCTGAAAAATTTTGGGAGTGGCCCATGTTACCCCACACTAGGGGGCAATACGGACCTCTCTTTGCTCAACTGTTACTCTGCAAAGATGCAGGATAATAATATGCCGTTTGGGCCAAAACCCGCGGGAAGGATGGTAGATAATATAATTAAATTGGCAAGACCGTAGCACCTTTCAGTTTTCTGTTGTTCTAAAATAACCTCAAAAAGTGGTCCATATTACCCACAACTTCGGTACTGCGTTTCAGAATGTCCCGCGAGCGTGAGCCCCGTCACCGCACGGCTGGATCGTCGGCGTCCGTGCGTGCTCCACGCGGTGTCTGCAATGGAAAGAAGCGTCTGGAGTGTCCAGTGTGCGAGAAGCAGTTTGCCTTTGGATGTCAACTAGAAACGCACCTTCGGATTCACACCGGGGAGAAGCCTTTCGAGTGCCCAGTTTGCAGGAAGAAGTTCAATCGAAATGGACATCTTGAAGGACACCTTCGTACCCACACCGGAGAGAAGCCTTTCGAGTGCACAGTTTGCAAGAAGAAGTTCACACAAAGTTCTTATCTGAGAAAGCACCTTCGCACCCACACCGGGGAAAAGCCATTTGAGTGCACAGTTTGCAGGCAGAGATTCACTCAAAGTGGAAGTCTCAGAACGCATCTTCGGATCCACACCGGGGAGAAGCCTTTCGAGTGCTCGGTTTGCAAAATGAAGTTCACTGTAAGTGGAAGTCTCAGAACGCACCTTCGCACCCACACCGGGGAGAAGCCTTTCGAGTGCACAGTTTGCAAGAAGAAGTTCAATGAAAGTGGAGATCTTAGAAAGCACCTTCGCATCCACACCCGGGAGAAGCCTTTCGAGTGCACAGTTTGCAAGAAGAAGTTCACACAAAGTTGTAATCTGAGAAAGCACCTTCGCACCCACACCGGGGAGAAGCCTTTCGAGTGCACAGTTTGCAATAAGAAGTTCGCTCGAAGTGAACACCTTAGCGAAAACGTCCACATTCACACTGGGAAGAAGCCTTTCGAGTGCACCGTTTGCAAAAAGAAGTTTGTCCAAAGTGGACAGCTTCGAACGCACCTTCTGACGCACACCAAGGATACGCATCGTGAGTGAATAATTTCGACGACCTTAATTTTAATGACATTATTCATACGGCGCATCATTTATGCTAGTTTATTAAATCAATAATTCTGTTTGAATGAATGGTCGAAGTGCGCTGTAGCCATTTATTTAATCAATTCTGGTTGAAAGAACGTGGGAACTGCTCTGTAGTTATTATGGTCAGAATTCCTGCGGCTCTTTTTTGTTCTTCGTACGGGTGTAACTAGGGCTATTTGACCAATACTCACTGTTAACATCAAGTCCAAGCTGTTTATGGTCCTTGTGAGGAGGCCTAATCGTTCCGTGCAATTTCAATGATTGAAGGTATTGACATTTCCCATAAACATGTGTTATTCAAAATTTGCTGGTGACCTTTTGGAAAAATGCTTTAGTTTTTAGATTTTAGGTTCACTTTCAAGTCAATTGTGCTACCCGAGAGAGCTGCTTAACTTCGAACTTGTCATCAGAAGCCCTTCAAGCACTTGGTGGAGGTCAAGCTCCTGTTTCAACATTGCTGAGACGATCGGGTAAATTAGGTTTATTTTTTAAGGGCGTGATGAGTCTCTTGAAGCTCAGTGTTTTGTTTTGAATTGTTTCGCATTGAAACATTGTTTTGAAAACATTAAACTTGATTCGTATTTTGAATTTCATGAAGATGTCTTGATGATCTGGACCCTCTCCTCAGTTCTTTCGAAACATACAAGCAGGCTTAACGGACAAGGCATGGTCGCACCGTATCTGTCTCTTTTGTCTTTATTCCCTGGACGTAAGAAGTGGTACTCCAGGCAGCATAACTCCCGCCAACATGTATCACATTAGTATGATGTCCAACAGCAAACGACACAGAGCCCATTCGACAGTAATTTTTTTTCTTGCGTCTTAAGATTTGCACTCGGATGAAGCTGACACACGCAGTCGCCGGATAGATTCTATTGCCGACATCAAGGTGCGCTTCTTGACGCCTCTACCTGGTGACCCCGTGCTTGAGTTGAGCATGTCCACCAGTGGCTGGTCTCCTTGCAATGCACGCAAATTTCCTAAGACGTGCAGCCACGGCGCAGACCGGTGCAAGCTGTCAAAATTCCGGACGCGTTTTGAGCTCCAGAGTCACTAATCGGGGCTCGAACGAAACGTGTGGCCCCACCAATGGATTGCTCTCCGAAGGAGGAATCCATTGGTGGTGTTACACGTCCGGTTCGAGTCCTGCTAAGCTGTACTCTACAAATTAAAGAGTGTACATAGTATGCTCTAACTGGAGCATGCCTGCAAGCACGCTCCAGCTAGAGCATGCCTGCCAAGCATGCACTAACTAGTGCATACATGCCATGTACACGCTAACTGAAGCACGCATCTAGTGCATAAGGGATAGGGATTTGCCTGCATCAGGAAGCGTGTACATGGCATGTATGCACTAGTTAGTGCATGCTTGGCAGGCATGCGCTAGCTAGAGCGTGCTTGCAGGCATGCTCCAGTTAGAGCGTACTATGTACACTCTTTGATTTGTAGAGTAGAGCTCAAAACGCGTCTAGAGCTTTGACCGCCTGCGCTGGTTTTCTGGCCCACTGAGCGCGGGCACCGACTTCCTTGCGATGGATCCACGTGTGAGACAGAGATCCGACCTGTCTGAAGTCCCTAGCCAAGGACATAATGTGGCTCGGGAATGTCGTCACTGAAACGAGGGCGTACACTTCGTGGAATCGAGCACAGACTGCTACGCTGTATTTGGGCGGCATTCCACGAACCGCACGGCATTGAAGTGCGTTAATGTGGTCACATCTCGCCGCAGTGTTAAGCTTCACTGCAAAGCGGTGGTATGTTTGCCTGCCACAAAATTGGCAAGCCGTTTTGATGCCAAAAATTGGTCAGTGTTGTCGGAAATCTTCAATGGCTGGCCAAAGTTTGGCTAGCTGCGGAAGGGGTAGGCCAAGCTTTGCAATTTTTGGGCATTGAAAACGGCTTGCCATTTTTTTGTGGCAAGCAAACTTACCACCGGCTTTGCAGTGTTACGTGTATCACGCGTAGCACAAGGCTTGTGTGTACTTGTCACATTACGCGAGTGCACATCCCCTCGCCTCGAGCGCCGATCCAGAGACGGCAGGAGGACCACACATGCACAGCCGGACTTCAAGATAACCGCCTGAACGGTACTCAGTCCACGCGTGAGAGTCTTACACAATTTGGCGTGGCGGGAAGGACGTCACTGCAAAGAATTCCGTGGTTTGGTGCGGAAAATGTACGGAAAAATGGGGTACGGAAAAGGTGCGGACCTTCCGTACTGGTTCTCTGTGGTCTCCATAAGGATCTCATGTAAACTGGTACGGAAAAAAATGTACAGAACTTTCGTGGTTGGCAAGGTACGGACGGTCCAGGTTAAAAATTGACCAGACACGTTCCGTCCCTTTTCCGTCCTTTTTTCTACCACTCTTGTAAGTGTGGTAGACGGTTTGTCCGGCACTTCCTGCTCTTGCACCGAGAATCCAAGTGCTTTAGCGTCAATTGGTGCAATGCGCGCCCTGGGGCGGTCTGCGAGGGCAAGGGTTCACCGGACCTAGCCGGCGGCTCTTGCCCTTGATAATACATTCACAATCTACATTTCTATGACTATATATAAAAAAATTTACAGTGTAGAGGGGGGGGGGGCGATCTTCGAGGCCACGCCACCGACCTGCTGACGGTGCGTCCGTCGGCCAGTGCAGTGCTGACCGTGCACTAAAGGCCGTGCTCGCGGGGCGCTGGGCCTTCGCCGTTGGCAGTGTGCCTCCGGCGTCGGTGCAGGCAGGTCGTTGCTGCTGCGTGCGGGGCAGCCGCGCGTCTCTCGAAGTCCGTCTTCTTCGTCGCCCAGCTGGAGCCGTTGTTGGGGTTGGTGGGCACGCGCGGGGGCCGTACGTCTTGAAGCGCCTGGAGGGAAGGCAACCCGCGGGGCTCCAGTGCGCCCGGACACGGTAGGTTGCTTACCCGGAAGGGGCGCTTGACACCCGGAACCTGCATTAGGTCGGGAAGGGCGCCCAGTCCGAGCTGGGTGCGCTGAACACCTTTTAAGGGGGCACACCAGTGAAAATGCAGAGGCTTCGTAAAAACGTTATTCTGAGTAAAGTAACGAAGGAAATGGTTGAAATTTTATTCTGAACTATAAAATATGTCAATTTAACCAAAAAAGTACACGGCAGCCAGGAGCGGCGACGGGAAGGGGGGGGTGGGCGCCATCTTCATTTTTCGGTGACACGGCTCCACTTTGCCCAACTTTGTGAAGCCCTCGATTCAGCCAGAAACATGGGGTTTCAAAATTTCTCATCAAGACACATGTGGCTATCGTGTGAACCACGGACATGTCGGAAACACAAATCTAAATATGTTTTATTGAGAAGCAAAAAAATAAACTAATTTTTTGACCATATTTTTCACGTTTCCGTGTCTGTGGCTCAGGCCCTGTACGTGCTACGACCATATCCGAGGTTCACACGATAGCGGCAAGTTTAAGGAACATTTTGCCGCAAACCGCACTCAATTATTTCAATTTTTGCGCCCGAAATCGTGGGCACTAGGTCCAAAAATGGGGTTTCGAGAAAACGACGTTTGAAGTGAAACTACGATTTACACGCATTATTCCTCATTACGGACGCAATTTATGACATATTTGAGTTCGGTTTGCGCCAAAATATTCCTTTTTCCAACTGCGTTTCGATGGTTCGAGGGTTTTGTCATTGGACTTCAAGTGAAACACCTGAACGTCAACAATTGAGGTAAAATATGCAAAAATAGTTACCTTTTTAGGAACTTCAAAAATGTGCCCAAGCCAAAGTAATTGGAATTTTGAGGTGGGGTTTGCGGCGTTCGACTCGGAATGAATAGCAGAAAAATAAGATCAAATAAAAAAGAAGGCCAAAATTTGACGATTTTCACTGGTGTGCCCCCTTAACTGTGAAAAAGGGTGTTGCAGGGGTCCACTGAAATGGTTCGTTCTCGAGAACGGTTCAAAACGTATTTAGTGGTCAACATTTCTGATCAGAGGAACGTTCAAGGTAAGTTTTAATTAAGTTTATTGTAAAGTGAAAAAAGTGGCTACATCACATTTTGAACTTGTGTCCGCGGGAAAAGGATCATATACAGGGTGAGTTTTCTCAATGTGTCAATAATTTGTAGGTAGTTTGGGCACCCCAAGGGGATCATTTTCTTCCAATGAACTAGTGGGCGCAAACGTCTAGGTACGGAGATAATTGGTGCTTTGTAATTGGCCTTCGCGCCTGCGAGGTAGGCACCCGCTGCCACTGATGGGCGCAGGACCTCACGTGGGGGTGTCGCGGGTCTAGGAGGGTAGCTTCGAGTCTCGAAGGGGTGCGGCGGACCTTGCAAATGTCTTTTGGGAGGGGTTGCCGCGGGTCTCAAGGGGCTGTCATGGTGGCCCCCGTTACAGTGGATCTCACGGCTGTCTTTGCGAGGGTGGCAGGATTCTACGGATACTTCCGCGAGGTAAGTGGCACTCCCGCGAGTACTGCTAGTCCCGCGACACCCCCTCGACAGGTCCTGCCACCCTCAGTGGCACCGGGTGGCTACCTTGTAGGCGCAAAATCCAAATTCAAAACACCAATTATCTCCGTATCTAGACGTTTGCGCCCACTAGTTCATTGGTGAAAAATGGTCCCCTAGAAGATGCCCAAACTGCCTGCAAATTATTGACACATTGAGAAAACTCACCCTGTATGTTTCATATATGGTACATATATGAGTATATATGATTCATAGATGGTACATATATGAGTGTATGTGATTCATATATGACGAGACACACGCCATATATGAAAGTCCATCCTCCATATATGTATCATATATGTATTTTTATATCATATATGCAGAAATTTGGTTCATATATGTTTCATATATGTTACATATATGATATTTCTAGGCACATATGATCCACGAAGCGGAAGAAGGGGTTAAGTCGAGTTGATTCAGTGACCTCTTATCAGTCTATCAAGTAAACATGAGCGAAAATTTGGTCCAAAAATAAGTGTGGTGAGACACGTCCCATCCTCTTGCGTCTATTTTTAGATGGCATTTCCCCCCCTGTTCTTCCACCTGCAAGGTTTAGGCCTTGCAAAAGTGCACGGATTCAACTCGACTTACCCCCTTCTTCCGCTTCCTGGATCATATATGACTTTTTTAACGGTCATATATGGCAATATTGTCACATATATGGCCCATATATGACCCGTTCAGCTTCATATATGAAGTCCCTAGACACATATATGAGGATTTCATCATCATATATGAAAATGTTCTTGTCATATATGTACAATATATGACCAGTTCCACTTCATATATGGTGTTCCTAGATACACATATGAGGATTGCATCATCATATATGAACATGGTCTGGTCATATATGTACCATATATGTACCATATATGACAATGTCTAGGTTCGCGGCCGTCCACATCATTTATTTTCTAAGTCCCACCATATATATTTCATATATGAGACATATATGTGACATATATGATATCGACCAGCTCTAGAAGGTCTCCGTCACAGAGCCCTGGTCCTGCCAGGAAGCGTCGTAGCGTAGTAAGTAAAGCAACCGCCTGTGGAATCAAAGATCGCTGGTTCGAAACCTACTCCGTGACGTTTTTTTACGGCCATTCTTTCAGTTCTTTTGTTGTAAAATGCATAAGTACTTGATCTGGAACCTTTCACACTCTGAATTTAGTATCAAATGTTCAATTTTTTATTGATTTATGATAATTAAGTCATATATGACTCATATATGCAATATAACATATATGAACTAAATATGAAAACTTATATGATTCACATTAATAGGTCATATATGTATCATATATGATTTTAATATGTTTCATATATGCAACATATATGAATCATATATGCCCATCATATATGGACCATATATGATCATTTTCCCGAGGCGCCTCGGGAGGCGATGCCCTTGCATGGCGAGCCACTGGTTCTTGTCTTTCTGAATACTTAGGCTCTTCACTCGGCGATGGCTGACGTTTAAGTACTGTTTCCGGTTCCAGAATCTTCCTATTCATTTCACTTGACGCTCTGGTGGAAAAGTGGAACTCGAAAGGGAGTGCAAAGGATCAATAGTCGGCGTAGTCGCTGGTAGGTGCACCTTTAGCGCAAACTTATGTTTGGATCAAGTGTAGCCAATGAATCTTTACACGGAAGAAAAAGAACGCGCAGATGCTGTGATGAGGGCTTACTTTTCATCTTTTCCTTCCGTTTCAAGATTCGCTGGATTAAGGTACGCCTGTCGACGTTACGCTAGAAGTAAAGCATACACTTTAAATTCCACCTCAGGAGGAAGCTGAGCGGATGAGCTTGTTACGGTTGACGCAAAGTGCCAAGCGTAATCCGATTGCACTTTCTTTTCACATTCACGTCCACGTGAGGACCTTTTCGCCGTACTGACTGGACTATCACGTCTTGGCTCACAGCGCTGGCCTAAATTGAACAGCATAGTACGGACCAGTTCGCACCATCACTGGTATTCAATCGTTGTCGTCGTTTTCCACTCCAGACCGGCTCCGTCTTTGCAGTGGCAGCCCACCTGACTGAAGGAAGGAGGATCTTGACCGAGAAGGACGAACGGCGCGTCTTCAGGAACGGCACGTGTTTCCACCAGCGTCTCTACGCGGCGACGTGTTCCGAGTCCTCTACATGTAAGTGATATTTCGCCGGACTAAACTCGATCTCTCGACGTAAGCGAATTCACCGGAAGTCGGGTTGCGTCGGCCAATCAGAAATCTGCCACCGATATTGTGCGGCTCGGATTCCGAATTGGCGATGCGACCCGACTACCGGTGAATTTGTCTCTATCGGGTTGCGAAGAAGATCCGCCTGGATCCTTCGGAGTAAGGAAATAGGTCGGAAGTCGAGTCGCCTATCCAGTATCAGAGGCAGCGCTTGCGGAGTGGATGTTTCTCATCGGCCAGGGGGTGGCAACGGCCTAGGGAGAGCGTGAAGCGATGCTCGCGCCGTCAGTGCAGAGGTTGCGCACTTGTTCGAGATTATGAAACCCAGACTGTGTTTTTCGAAACGCTTTGCACTGATGGAAACGGCTTGAAATTTAGGGTGCATTAGGCTAATTGCTCTTCCCGAAACTCCCCCCGTATCTAATATTAAGGTGCAGTAAAAACACCAAAAAAACACAAAAATCATAAAATTGAGGAAAAAACTCGAATGCGCCATGTTGATGTAAATGATTTCGCCCTTGTGTTCGGTTGCATAGGAAGTATCGGGCAGTCTACTAGGCCTAATGCACCCCAAATTTCGTGCTCTTTTGATCTGTGCAAAGCGTTTTGCAATCAACGGGCTAGATCTTACAATCGAAGCAAAATAAGTAACCCCTGCACTTACTCGCGCTTGGCTTCACGCGCTTCCTAGGCCGTTGCCGCCCCCTGCATCGGCCGACGCGACCCGACCTCCGGCGTTTCTATTCTTTTTTTTTCTTTTTTTCCCCGAAGTATTTTATATGGATGCAGCTCGTTAGCCTTCACTGCTCTGTTGCACGTGTGATTGGGGAGAGACGCACGATTTTATTTACTAGGGGTACGCGCCGTTTAGTGTGGGCGCGTAGTGTGGCTGAGCGATGCGAGTTTGTGCACTTCGGACTTTGCTTAAATAGACGAAATGCGCAGTTTGTGGGCTCATATTGAGTGGAATGTAGGTCTGAGGTATAACTGGAAGTGATTTTCGTTATCAGCACACAAAAAAATGTTGGGATCAACGTCAAACTCGATTCCGAAATTTTGGTCCAAAATTGATCAAAATTCGGTAATGCGTGAGTCTGGGAAAAATTTGGAGGTGATTTTTGAGTTCAGCACACCAAAAACTGCAGGAAACAATATAAAACTCGATTTGAAAATTTTGGTCCGAAACGACCTAATTTGGGATGAAAATAGAAGTCTGGAGTCGAAATGGAGGTGATTTTCGTTATCAGAACACTAAAAACTGTTGGAATCAACATCAAACTCAATTCAAAAATTTTGGTCCAAATTTGGTCAAAATTAGGTAAAGCGTGAGTCTGGGAAAACTTTGGAGGCCATTTTTGAGTTTAGCACACCAAAAACTGCAGGAATCAATATAAATCTCGATTTGATAATTGTGGCCCAAAATGACCTAATTTGGGGTGAAAATACAAGTCTGGAGTAGAAATGGAAGTGGTTTTCATGATCAGCACCCCCAAAAACTGCAAGAATCAATAATAGATTCAATTGAAACGTATTGATATAAAACAGGTTAATTATGGGTAATGTACGGGTCTGGGTTGGTCTTCATGGATCACCCTTTGTCGTCACCAATTCCCTAATGCCACACCAATGCGATTCCTTCAGTCGAGTAACATTCCATTGCCAGCATTGAATCGCTTAATTGACTTCTTGTCTGCTTGAGTCACTATTCGATGTATCTTTTTCTTCAAACTAATGAATTCACAAATTTATTAGTTATATTTGAGAAGCCCTTTGTCATTCTTTCATTTTAAACAAGTGAATTTAATAATAAAGACTGGAATATGTAATCATAGTTTATATGAAGTGACTCAGTTTTGGGCAGGCTGATCTGAAGCATTCGACGGGGACCAAGTTTTGTCAAATTCAGTGAATCGTCTCATGAAGTACAATGCAGAGGCCACTTGTTGCTCAATACGCCAACATAATTTATCTTGTTCATGTCTCGTGATATTTTATCTTTGGAGTAAAAGATGACAGTATGGTATTAACATTGGGCATTGGGCTTACGCTCAGAGAGCCAGCTTTTAAACCATTACCAATACTTAGTTCCAGTTGTTGGACACAAATTTTGGTGAAGTGGGAGAAATCGTCTCATTAAAGTAGTACATCAGTTACAAACAAAGTATTAAAAAAGTTCCCCATTTGATCCATATCGATAGAAAATCATGCGCTGAAGTCAGTGTTACCAAACAAAATGCTCCTTCCTGAACTCGTTTCTGAGATAAATGCAGTCAAAGTTGGGATTTTTAACATGGGTCTTATGGGGAATGGGTCTAAAAAACATGCTAACGTTTACTTTTGGCACATAAGGAGTAATAAGAAGGCAATGAAAAACTATAGTTAGATAAAAAACACTACATAGAATCAAAATCCTTCCAGAAAAACGAGGGTCCCTGTCCATAGATGAGAACTACAGAACAAAGAATGTCCGAAAAATGCCCTCTTTTGGGTCAAAACGCGACTTTGGCCGTTTTCATAGTTGAATTGGTCAAAACCCTGTAGGGTTACATCAAAATTGCATATAACTTAAAACAGAGTTTGGAGATTTATCTGTAACTTGATGCAAAGCTCAGAGCATTACGACAAATTTCAATTTCAAAAATTTTTGGCGGGAAGCCCTAGCTGATGTACTACTTTAAATCAGATTACCAAGTCACCTAACGCTCAAAACCTGAATCGTCTCATTGCACCCAATATCAATTCAAAATTTGCTAGCACTAAATAGATGGATTATTTATTGCACTAAATACATCTATATATGGTTTCTTTTAGTCAATAGATGTTAGAACTAGAATATTTATGTTAGCTTGAAGCATTGCAATAGAATGTCATTTCCCGAGTCAAACCAAGACATTTAACATGTCACCTAATTAAAACAGAAGTTATTCATGCATTTACCTGATTTGATTTACTATGAAATTTAAAAATAAGGATAGTATCAGAGAGAATAAAATCAGTAGATGCACACAAAGGCAAAGAAAACATTCTAGTTAGAATCCACAACTACACTCACACAGTGCACTGACCTGAAGGCAGATTCCCCTGTGACGGGGAAGGGGGAGAGGGGTACGAAACACGCAATCCATTCTCACATTCATTTTTCGTATTTTCCTCTGTTGACACTCCGGAAGGGTTTTAATCATTCTAGAACGTTGAAAAACTAACTCAGAACCTATTTGAGAGCCCTTTTGCTCTTCAGTTTGTTTTATTTGCAGAAGTGCCGTCCCGTCTTGCAGACGCTTGCAAGCGCGGCAGCAGGTATGAGAAATTGGTCAGCCACACACTGCTACCAACCTAACAACGCTAATAACCGAGTTCAAAACGATGTTTTGAATATTTCAAACGATACTAAACAACGCACGGTCAAAACGAAACCTGGGATTCCCAGGAGCCCTATGTTATAAGGTATAGGAGTTCCCAGGAGATTCCTGGGATTCCCAGGAAGCGTTTTTACCGTGCGATTTGAAACAAACTCGTGTTGGGGGGAACTAAGACGACGTTAAATACGAAATGTTGGAACTATACCCCCTGTAGTTGCTGAGAATCGTTGGTGAGTACAAAGTCACAGACAGACAGACAGACAGACAAAACGCCAAACTGCTGGCATCACGTCCTATCACATTTAAGTCTCTCAGACAAAAACTATTAGTAGTATCGGGCTGAAATTTGGAGGGGTTGTTCTTGGAGGCTGCCCCCAGCCACCGAAACGATTGTTTTTCGCACAGCACCTCATGTGGCTCGTACAGAAGCATAAAATGGTCAACAACGTTTTTAGGGGGGTGGGGGCGTTCAAGGGGGTGGGGGTCAAATTTAACACCTGCAAAGTGAAGTCCTCCCTAACAGGTAACTACCCACAAAATTTGAACTCAATCGGTCCAGCGGTTTAGGCGCAGTGAAACCTAAAATGTTAGCCTCATGACGACCCCCCTCCCCCACCCCCAGCCCCTTCCCCCCGGCCGCCCGGAGGACAGACGCACGACCAGCCGCCTTTCGGCGCCCCCAAACACGGCAAGGGCTTCGCTAACGCTCAGCCAATAATCGGACGCGAAGATTCCCGTGGACAAATTTTAGGGACAATATTGCATCCCAAGTGGAAATGTTTCTAAGCGTTTCCAAATGTGCACTTAGTCGTCCATGGCTTTTACGTCATAGTATGTATTAGTGTTTGCAACTTTGTCCATCGGTAGAACTCATCACTTTGCCTCCAGACCTTTGGAACGAAAGAAATCTATGGCTCGTGATCATATTTGGTTCATTTTCTAGAGACTTTTTCATGGACTTTCTTTTGAACCTTGTTATGGACATACTTGTCCACCTCTGCCAACAATTTAGCGCTTAGATTCTGTACAAAAAGCGTTCCAAATTTATGTGGACATATTTTTCTTTGCCCTGTTTAAAAATGGTTGTACAGTAACAGTCAGAGGACAGAAAATATAGTTGTTCCAAAACATAGTACGTTAAAGGAAGCAAAGCGAAAGAAATTTTGTTGAATCTAGTAAGTGACAATTTGTCAAAGAATAACAAAATTCTTGTTATCACCATTAACGATACACTGTGTGTGCAAACAACTGATCCAAAGCGGTAGAAGGGGATAACTCAATTTTCATCATTTTACAGTGAAACAAAAAACTGTTTGGAGGGTAAACTAAATCCAATTGGATGAATAATGCATTTGCATTTTTGTCAGAAAAGCCTAAGAATTACCCGTGAAAATTTTCTTAAGTGTAGCATCACTCTGTAGACGGTTTTTGTGATTTAAATCTTTACGTTGGAATGGACTATGGAACTATGTTTACTTGGTTCTCCGAAACGAGGTGGAATTCGGAGACAATTCAAGTGGAGCTGAGGTCTGCGTAGTCTATATTTCTGTGGTACATTTTTGGAGTTACCTCTTTTTTCCAATTGGTGATATGGAGTTAAGTTGAGTTGATTCGTTATACATTACATTCATAAAGACACAAGTTGAGTTATCTCCCTTTGTCATTATGTGCAATGAAGTCATGTGGGCTTCGGTTGAGTTCCCTCCATTTTCCAATAAAATTTGGACCGTAAAAGGGTTAAGTTGAGTAACATCTATTTTTATGTGGATTTTCTCCTAAACTGTAAGGAATTGGGTCAAAAAATTTTGTGTAGTGATGCAAACTACGCTGAGGTAAATAATGAGATAAAAACTCAAGTTGGAGAAAAGTCAAATTATTTCCTTCTTCCGCTTCCTGGATCAACTTATTTTGCAATTGTCTGCTCAATTTAAATATATTATGATTAATTATCAATTTTGTTCTTCTAAGTCACAGGACAATTATTATTAAAAGAAGAATCATGAAAATTAAACTATGGGGCAAAAGTTCTCAATCAATATTTATTTGTTGCAGACATTACAAAATCATTTTCAACTTTTGTCGTTGACTAACATCGTTTGCTGTTGAACAAAGACTTGTTTTTTAAGGCTGACTGTTCATGTGTCATAACAAAGTTGTTGTGGTGAAATTATCCTTTAGGGTCAGAGCAGGGAAAAACTGGACAGGGGAAGAGCTGGACACCCCACATTTGACTTCAAATGCCGTATGTACTGGCCTGTCAACTGTCATGTAATGAACCGCTGATGCCACGGAACAACTTTTGATAGTTGTTATTCCTGTGCCTACGGTATTTGAAGTTAAATATGGGGTGTCCAGTTCTTCCCCTGTCCAGTTCTTCCCCGCCCTGACCCTAGTTCGAGTTCAACGAAAGTTCAACAAGCTATTCGTTTCTTAATTGCCGCCAAAAAAGTTACCAATGAAGGTGTTACTAAGTAACGACAAAATTATTATCAGTGTGGTTTGTGTTTTAATTTGTCGCCTTCTGGAAACGTTTAAAGGCGTTTCCGCCTCGGACAGAATACAGTTCACACTCTAAATGTCTTACGAAGAAATTTCCCATAATACGAAGGAAATGGCGCAAGCATAATACGAAGGTGGTTTTCCTTCGTATAACGAAGGTTTTTCTTTGTATCTTACAATGAAAAAGCTAAAAAGATTCGTATTACGAAGGAATATTGCTTCGTATTATGCTTGCGCCGAATTCACTGTAACATACGAATAACATAGGTCAAATTTCATTGTAAGACATTTAGAGTGCAGTACCTGATAAGAACATTATGCATGGTTATGTGTTTTGTAAGATCTTACTGTGTTTCAGAATGTCCCGCGAGCGTGAGCCCCGTCACCGCACGGCTGGATCGTCAGCGTCCGTGCGTGCTCCACGCGGTGCCTGCAATGGAGAGAAGCGTCTGGAGTGTCCAGTGTGCGAGAAGCAGTTCGCCTTTAGAAGTCAACTAGAAACGCACCTTCGGACCCACACCGAGGAGAAGCCCTTCGAATGCACAGTTTGCAGGAAGAGCTTCACTCAAAGTGGAAATCTCAGAAGGCATCTTCGGACCCACACCGGGGAGAAGCCTTTCGAGTGCGCAGTTTGCAGGCAGAAGTTCAGTCGAAGTGGTAGTCTCAGAGCACACCTTCGCACCCACACCGGGGAGAAGCCTTTTGAGTGCACAGTTTGCAACATGAAGTTCACTGAAAGTGGAAGTCTCAGAACGCATCTTCGAATCCACACCGGGGAGAAGCCTTTCGAGTGCACAGTTTGCCAGAAAAAGTTCACTCGAAGTGGAGATCTTAGAAACCACCTTCGCACCCACACCGGGGAGAAGCCTTTCGAGTGCACAGTTTGCAAGAAGAAGTTCAATGAAAGTAGTAATCTGAGAAAGCACCTGCGCACCCACACCCGGGAGAAGCCTTCCGAGTGCACAGTTTGCAAGAAGAAGTTCACAAAAAGTTGTTATCTGAGAACGCACCTTCGCACCCACACCGGGGAGAAGCCTTTCGAGTGCAAAGTTTGCAATAAGAAGTTCGCTCGAAGTGGACACCTTAGCGAACACGTCCGCATCCACACTGGGAAGAAGCGTTTCGAGTGCACCGTTTGCAAAAAGAAGTTTGTTCAAAGTGGACAGCTTCGAAGGCACCTTCTGACGCACACCAAGGATACGCATCGTGAGTGAATGATTTCAACGACCTGAATTTTAATAACATTTTTCATACGGCGCATCATTATTTATGCTAGTTTATCGAATCAACTCTGTTTAAAAGAACGTTGGAAGTGCACTGTAGCCATGTATTTAATCATTTCTGTTGGAAAGAACGTGGGAACTGCTCTGTAGTTATTATGGTCAGAATTCCTGCGGCTCTTTTATGTTCTTCGTACGGGTGTAACTAGGGCTATCCGACCAATACTCTCTGTTTACATGAAGCCCAAGCTTGTTTATGGTCCTTGTGAGAACGCCCAATCGTTCCGTGCAATTTCACTGATTGAATGTATTGACATTTCCCAAAAGCATGTGTTATCTAAAATTTGCTTGTGACCTTTTGGAAAAATGCTTTAGTTCTTAGATTTTAGGTTCACTTTCAAGTCGATTGTGCTATTCGAGAGTCCTGCTTAACTTCGAACTTGTCATCATGTCTCAAGAAGAGAAGCGGTTGGTGGAGGTTAAGCTTCTGTTTCAACATTGCTGGGACAAACGGATAAATTAGGTTTTTTTAAGGGCGTGATGAATCTCTCAATGTTTTGTTGTGAATTGTTTCGCATTGAAACATTGTTTTGAAACCATTAAACTTGATTCGTATTTTGAATTTCATGAAGATGTCTTGATGATCTGGACCCTCTCAAACTCAGTTCTTTCGAAACATACAAGGAAGGTAAACGGACAAGGCATGGTCGCACCGTATCTGTCTCTTTTGTCTTTATTCCCTGGACGGAAGAAGTGGTACTCCAGGCATCAACTCCCGCCAACATGTATCAAATTAGTATGATGTCCAACAGCAAACGACACAGAGCCCATTCGGCAGTAATTTTTTTTTCATTCGTCGTAAGATTCGCACTCGGATGAAGCTGACACACGCAGTCGCCGGATAGATTCTATTGCTGACATCAAGGTGCACTTCTCGACGATCGCCTCTGTTGACTGAAAACGCTCGTGCTTGAGTTGGGCAAGGGGCAGTGGCTGGTCTCCTTGCAGCACGCAGTCCTCGTTTTCATAATGATAATGATTGCCCAAGACGTGCAGCCGCGGCGCAGACCGGTGGGAGCTGTCAAAATTCCGGACGCGTTTTGAGCTCCAGAGGCACTAAACGGGACTCGAACGGAGCGTGTGACCCCACCAATGGATTGCTCTCCGAACGAGGAATCCGTTGGTGGTGTCACACGTTCGGTTCGAGTCCTGCTAAGCTGTAGAGCTCTAAGCGCGTCTAGAGTTTTGACCGCCTGCGCTGGTTTTCTGGCCCGCTGAGCGCGGGCACCGACTTCCTTTCAATGGAACCACGTGTGGGACAGAGATCCGACCTGTCTGAAGTCCCTAGCCAAGGACGTAACGTGGCTCGGGAACGTCGTCACTGAAACGAGGGCGTGCACTTCGTGGAATCGAGCACTGACTGCTACGCTGTATTTGGGCGGCATTCCGCGAGTCGCACGGCATTGACGTTTAGCCGCGAACAAGTGTTAAGCTTCACTGCAAAGCAAGTTTGCTTGCCGCAAATTTGGTAAGCCGTTTAGAATGCCAAAAGTTGGCAAGGTTTGGTCGGAAATCTTCAAGCTTGCCAAATTTTGGCAAGCTGGGGGAGGAGTAATTATTTCCGGGCCAAACTTGCCAATTTTTGGCATTCAAAACGGCTTCCCATTTTTTGTGAGCCCAAAAATTTTCAGTTATTTCTTAGGCTTTCTTGACAAAAATGAAATTGCATCATTCATCTCATTGGATGAAGTTTACCTTGCAAACAGTTTTTTGTCTCCGGACAAATAATGAAAATTGAGTTATCCCCTTCTACCGCTTCATGGATCTTTTGGTTCTCACTTTTAAGCGTGAGACATTTTGGTACACGCCAAAAAATGTCTGCCTTTCTCAATTGAATTTGCAATGTAAACCAAAAGCAACACTTTGCCCGAAGTGCTACTTGCGCCCTTGCCCCCTATCTTTCTGTCCCTCTGACCGGTCTGGATCCGCCAACGTACGCCCTTGCACCCAAAATGCCACCTCAAAATTTACGGAAACATAATCTGCAGCAACAGGCGCCGAGTCAACCATGCTTGATAAGTCTTGCGGCCTTGCCCGGTCTCGCCGCTGGTGGTCCCCAGACGCCGGGAGCATGACCTTGCCCGCGGTTGCCAGACAATGTCTAGTTCAGTGGCGCTCGGAGCGCGCCAGGGCAGGACGCGTCTTGCGCCACAGCCGCCTCGGCTTCATCAGCCCGTGCGGCACACGTGGGCGATAGGAACAATCTCAGGCGGAGAGGGTTTTAACAGCACGCCGAGGCAGAGAGTTCAGAACTCTTTTCGAACCCACGACGTGAGGTGAGTACATTCTGTTCACTTAACTTTGAAAACTCAAAGGTGAATAAATTGAGCCACCATAGGGATAAGAAAAAAAATATCACCGTGGTGTGAGAATCGAAATTCTCACCTCATTAGCGGTGAGAATTAGAATGCTCGGACGGGGTATGCACTCGCGCGTGCAGTGTAACTTGCGCGGACCGTCCGGGCCTGCTGACTACGGTACTGCTGTACGTACTTCTTTCCGTAACCTGAGTTCATATCGAGGGGTCCTATTCAAAAGATCTCTTATCTGCGCGTTCCCCCCAAGACAATCTTATCTTAAACGCAGGTGAATTTCACTCAGTTTGACCATTTGGGATGGCTTACGAGAGTAAGCGGAATATATTTCTGCATGCACTGTTCTTTTCTTTGATCTTTCATCTTCACATTTCAGTGAATTTAATCACAGATTATATTGATTTGTAGGTGTATCAAATGATCAAACTGAGTGAAATTTGCCTGCGTTTAAGATAAGATTGTCTTGGGGGGAACACGCAGATAAGATCTTTTGAATAGGACCCCTCGATGAGTTGATCCAGGAAGGGGAAGAAGGGGATAAAGCCATTTTGACCATGTTTCAGGAGCAACAAAAAACTGTTAGCGGGGAAATCTAAAACTGAACAATGGAATGTTATAGATGATAACAAGTTCAAAGAATGTAAATTAAATTGTGAGATGAACATCAGGAGTGTCAGGTCACTGCGTATAGGATATCTATGACTTACCTTTTTCCGCTAAAATGGAAAACAGAGTCATCTCAACTTATATTTCTTAAACGAAGTGGAATAAGGAGACATGTCAAGTGGAACTATAGTCAGCAGAGAGTGATGGTTCCTCTGGTGCATTTTTTGGACTTAGCTCCTTTTTCCGTGTTCTTAACATTAAAGGGGGGTAAGTTGACTTGATTCTTTTTACAATGGATACATAAAAACACAAGTTGAGTTATCTCCTATCAACAATATGTTGAACGGAGTCATGTTGACTTTGGTTGAGATGTATCCATTTTCCGCTAAATTGAGAGTGTAAAAGGGGTCAAGTTGTGTTACATCTTTTTTCGAAGTGGATTTTCTCTTGAACTGCTAGGAATTGAGTCAAATAATAGACACTTCCACCAGAACGCCGAGTGAAGAACAAGAGGAAGAAATGGTACCGGAACCCCCATAAACGTCTTGTTTATAGGTTTTGACTGTTTACAATCATGAAACTTGTCTTTATTTAATTTTAAATAATTTTTAGAACCCAAATGAACCCATAATATTATCAAAGGAGCGACTTTTATGGACTTTCCGGCTTTTGTTATTCTTCTTGTTCTTCACTCGGCGCGCTGGTGGAAGTGTCTATTTGGTGCAATGATACAAACCATTCTAACGCACGACATAATAAAAACTCAATTTGGAAATAAGTCAAATTATTCCCTTCTTCTGCTTCCTGGATCAGTTCATATGGAGCAAGTACGGACGTTCCGTTCTTCATTCTTCTGTGCATTTTCCGTACAATAGTAACGGATTTTTTTTGCGTGTAAGATGCTTAAAATGTACAAAGTGATGCATAATACTATACACAGCTTACGTACGTATCGGGGCATCTAACTATGCACAAAAAGTGCAACTTGGTCATTGAAACCGCCTACAAGAGTTGAGTGTGTTAGGAATGTCCGTACTTTCTCCGCAGAATCTTATTTTCCGCATATTTTCTGCGTACCGAACGACGGAATTGTTTTCAGTGGACGCCGAGCCCGACCGCCATGCCGCCCGGACGGGCGCGCAGCCACCATGACGCACAGCGGACCGACGCCGCCAAGCCGCGGAGCCACTCGCTCAGCGCCAAGCAGGCCCCGGAGCCCACCGGGCCCAAGGGGCTGCGGTGCTGCCGGCCGCAGGTACGCACAGTGGGCCAGAAGACCGGTGGAGGCGGTCAAAACCCCGGACGCGTTTTGAGCTCCACAGTCGCTAAATAGAATATGAACCAAACTTGTGACCCCACCACTGGATTCCTCGTGCGGAGAGCAATCCATCGGTGGGGTCACACGTTCGGTTCGAGTCCCATTTAGCGACCCCGGAGCTCAAAACGCGTCCGGGATTTTGAGCGCCTCCACCGGTCTTCTGGCCCACTTTGCAGTGTCGGGAGTAAAACGCGCTCAGCATCAATAATTTAGCTCTGTTTTTCTCCTCATGGCCTTAGATCTTGGCCTGCCTTGCCGCCGGCATGTTCAACGTCCCCGAGGGCCTGACCATGGCGTACTCGTCCTCGCTGATCCCCGAGCTGCAGGAGGAGGGCAGCGAGATCCCCATCACGCTGGAACAGGGCGTGCTGCTCGGTGAGAAGACCATCGCCATCGAGGTTAATTGTTGAGGGGGCAGCAGCGCAGTTTTACTGCGTTCAGGTGGTTTTTACTTTCCGTTTTCACACCATGCAAGTGGGTGGCTCTCAACTGTTCATTCCGAAAGAGAGTGCACTGCAAACTCAAGTGTGTGCCAGGTATGCACTTCCTGGTGCATGCCGTCGCTTATGTGTGCATATAAGGAAGTGTGTGCCTGCCAATTTCAGAGTGTAAAGGGGGGCTGACGGTTTCTAATTCAAGTCCTGCGCTTTGTTTTCGTTTTGTATTTCCCCACGAGTTCGGAGGACGGCCGTGAAGGTACAGTTTTCCTTCGGTTCGAGTCCTGTTTGGCGACTCTGGATCTCAAAACGCGCCGAGAATTTAGGCCGCCTCCATCGGTCTTCTGCTCCACTGCTCTACAAACTGAAGTGTGTACTCAGTAGGCGTCTACACACTGTTAGAAATTAGCTCCGAAACTTTATGGAGAAAAACCGCATACTCAGCAAAGCATTACTTGGGTCCTGATGGGAGGTAAAATGCATGTCTTTTCTCAGATATTTTAAAGAGGGCTTCGCTGAAGCATTCTTCAGTCTCAAATGGTCAAATAAGGGACAATCTCCTTCGAGCTTATTTTAGCGCCATCCTGTAGCTTTCCCTTAATTTTATGAAAAGGTAAACAAGTAGGGGTTTACCTTCCCCTCATTTTTTCACTGGTCGCAAACCTTTTTTCGTGTTTTCGTGATAGTGAAGCTTGCATTTTTGTTCAAAATTCCGAAACTTTTCGGAGAAAGCCCAGAATTTGCAGTTATGGAGAGCTCCATGCAGAAGTTTCGGAAAAACTCCATGATTTTTCCATTTTTATTCGGAATTTTCTGATAGTGCAGAGGCATACTTGGAACTACACCTCTACAGATGCCTACTTAGTTGACTACACATCTTCAGATGCATACTCAGATGAGTACACGTCTACAGATGCATACTCAGCTGAGTACACGTCTACAGATGCATACTCAGCTGAGTACACGTCTACAGATGCATACTTAGCTGAGTACACGTCTACAGATGCATACTCAGCTGAGTACACATCTGCAGATGCGCACTTAGATGAGTTAGGTATGCATATGCAGGTGTGTACTCAGCCAAGTATGCAACTGTAGACGTGTACTCATCTGAGTATGCGCATCTGTAGATGTGTACTCAGCTAAGTATGCGCATCTGTGGACGTACTGAGTACACACTTCAGTTTGTGGAGTGTGCTACGTCATCGTTCCTGAACCGTTTGGCTGTTCCCGCAGGCAGCTGCATGGTGGCCTGCATGGCCATGGGCACGCTCATCTCTGGCGTCGTCATGAACCGCTTCGGGCGCCTCAACACGGTGCGCTTCTCCTTCCTGCCCTTTGCCGCCGGCTGGTTCGTCGTGGCCAGCGCCTCCACGTACGAGCAGATCCTGGTCGGCAGGCTGCTCACCGGGCTGGCTAACTGTGGGTGTCTCCTGGTGTTTGCGAAGCACACTCTAAACGAAATCTGGGTCATTCCGTCCCACTTTTACACCCTGTTACATCGACCCCCCACCGGATTGTTCCATATTTCGGTCAATTGTTTCCTAACCTAACCTATAGATGAGTCATCCACCAAAAAATCAGACCTCTACAATGCCTAGTTTGCCTGAAAGCGCGTTTTTTTCATTTTTACCATTTTTTCTCTAATTAGTGTGGGCTTTTACGAAAACGGCTGCTAAGTCCTTTCTAATCACCAGACTCCGTTCAAAGTTTTACAATGAAACCTCTAGGTCTGAATTTTCACTCAAAATGTCTTACGAATAAAATAAACTCACCATTTCAAAGAATTTCGGCAAAAATATTATGGAGCCACTTGTTCTATGTAATATGAAGCTGTAGAAAAACAAAAGAAAAAGATTCCTAATAGGGGCGTATAAACAAATTGAGTTCGTACGTATTATGTTAGCACAAATTTCTTCGAACACCACAGCCGAATTTTTAATTAAGAAATTTTCAGTGCATACGAGAGCTGTGCACAGTTCTTGGAAGTGGGGCACCAATTTTTATCCGATCCGCTCTCATTTCAGGAACGTTACATCACGTCTAAACGAATGTGACAAAATGTCACGTTCCTTTGAGCATTGTGCAACATTCGTTTAGATGTGAATAAGCTGATTTATGGCCGATTCGCATCCAAACGAATGTGACATTTCGTGACATTCGTTTCAACGTGATGTCACGTTCCTGCAATGTGAGTGTCCTATATAGCCGGACGCTGTCCCGGTATTTTTTTTTTCACATTACGTATGGGTATTGAGATCCACGTTTAACGGCGTTAAAGTTGAAGTTAATTTAGACTTTTCGTCCTCCTGTGGGCCACAGCATCACAAATTTCATGGGACTGAAATTTTTTTTAGAATATTTGAACCTTTGTGAGTCGATTCCAACCAACAGATAAACATAGAAGTTAAATTTTGCGTTTTTCATTCATCATTTTTAAAAAATTTGCGCAATGTCATTGAATTTAACGTTAACAGGAGTCTCCAGGTCGGCCGCCGGCCGTGCCTCGGCGCGGGGAGCCAATGCAGACCCAAATGAAAATCGCGATTTCTCGAAAACGGCTTGGCCAAAAAATTTCAAACTTGGTAGAGAGACTGGTAATAGACCAGGCCCGCCCCCGGTGCGGTCAAATCCGGCCCGACATTGCCTGTTTGCCTACTGGCGTGATCGGCTCGAAAAACGGAGACCGCCGTATCTCGGCTCCTGGGCACGATATCGAAAATCGGCCAACGTACGCGCGTAGTCCTACTCGTTCCCAAAACGCCTCCCCCAAATTTCAAGTCAAAATCTTGAACGGTGTGGCCGTAATTTGGGAAACGCCGAGACGAAAAACGCGACTTTTCGGCGACTGGCGTGGCGAAGGCAGGCTGGAGGCAGGCAAAGAGGCCTGATCAAGGGACCGGCCCCCGAATTGCCCCCCGCACCTCCCCCGCCCCGCCCGCCCTGCACTGCACTGCCAGACTGCCATTGTAATGCCCCCGGCCCGGGCCTGGGGCTCGCGCCTGCCTGGCTCCGGGGTGCATCCACGCTACCTGCTCTAGCATTGTCTCCGTCGCACTTTCGTGACAGACGGCACAGACGAAGAAAGTAGCTGTCGACGTCTGGGATGGCTATGCGGACGCCACCTTTTGGCTCCGGCGAGGAGGCGCGGTCGGTCCCAGCCGATTCCGAGCCAGCCGGCGGCAAGGCAGAAAAATTCATCTGAACCTGGCTCAAAATGACACGTTTTTCAACATTGGTACCAATATGCGTTTCGAAGCGCGCTGATCAAATTTTATACCAAGAAAATTGTTCAGTGATTTATTGTCAAAATTGTCCTAGCAATTTCTCGTTTACACCCAACTTCCTAGTTTTTTGAACTGATTCCGCCACCATCCGTAAAATATCAACTTTCCGAAAATTTCAAATTTTTACATCCGCTCCTAGTCTCTTTTGTTTGACGTGAAAGGGGGTGGGTTTGGGGTGGGCAGGCGGGGGCCCCGTGCCTGGCTCCGACCCTCGAGCAGGTATATTTCCGCCGCCAAACAAAAGAGACTAGGAGTGGATGTAAAAATTTTGAAAATTTTCGGAAAGTTGATATTTTACGGAGGGTGGCGGAATCAGTTCAAAAAACTAGGAAGTTGGGTGTAAACGAGAGATTGCTAGGACAATTTTGACAATAAATCACTGAAAAATTTTCATGGGTACAGAATTGATCAGCTCGCTTCGAAACGCATATTGGTACCAATGTTGAAAAACGTGTCATTTTGAGCCAGGTTCAGATGAACTTTTCGCCTTGCCGCCGGCTGGCTCGGAATCGGCTGGGACCGCACCGGCCTCCTCCCCGGAGCCAAAGGTGGCGTCCGCATAGCCATCCCAGACGTCGACAGCTACTTTCTTCGTCTGTGCCGTCTGTCACGCAAGTGCGACGGAGACACTGCTAGAGCAGGTAGCGGGGATGCACCCCGGGAGCCAGGCAGGCGCGAGCCCCAGACGGCCGGGCGCATTACAATGGCAGTCTGGCAGTGCAGTGCAGGGCGGGTGGGGGGGGGGAGGTGCGGAGGGGCACTTCGGGGGCCGGTCCCTTGATCAGGCCTCTTTGCCTGCCTCCAGCCTCCTTCGCCACGCCAGTCGCCGAAAAGTCGCGTTTTTCGTCTCGGCGTTTCCCAAAATTACGGCCACACCGTTAAAGTTTTGACTTGAAATTTGGAGAGGCGTTTGGCAACGAGTAGGACTACGCGCGTACGTTGGCCGATTTTCGATATCGTGCCCGGAGCCGAGATACGGCGGTCTCCGTTTTTCGACCGATCACGCCAGTAGGCAAACAGGCAATGTCGGGCCGGATTTGACCGCCCCGGGGGGCGGGCCTGGTCTATTCCCAGTCTCTCTCCCAAAGTTTGAAATTTTTTGGCCAACCCTTTTCGAGAAATCGCGATTTTCATTTGGGTCTGCATTGGCTCCCCGCGCCGAGGCACGGCCGGCGGCCGACCTGGAGACTCCTGTTAACAACCCTGTCGAGATCTCAATCTGCTACACTCTGAGAAAAAATGACGGTAAATCCTGGATAATTTTTTTGCCAAACTTTACCGTACTTCAAAAACCTGTATCCTCCGTACAGTCTACGTATTTACCGTACTTTTTTTACAAAATATTCCGTTCTTTTAACAGTAGTTCCGTTCTTCCGTACAGTCCATGCCGTAGGAAAGACCAGATCTGGTCCCATCAAAGGCCGCTTCCAAGAAGTGTCCACATCAGGATCTTGAAAAAAGGGGGTCGACCGACTGAAAAATTTTATTGCACCTTTCAATAGGTCTCTTCAAGACCTTTCCAACGAGTGGTCGGAAGAGGGGTCCAGGAGTCCGACTTCAGCAGTTGCGTACATCAGGAACTTGGAAAAAGAGGGTCAATCGACTGAACAAAATTATAGCAGTTTTTGATAGGTATTAAAAGTACGGGATTGCCGGGGGAAAATGTACGGGATTACCTGTAAAAAAAGTACGGCGTTTCCTGTAAAAAAAGTACGGTATTGCCTGTTAAAAAAAGTACGGTGAAGTCTGGAGTAATCAGTACAGGATTTACCGTGATCTTTTCTCGCAGTGTACGCGGGAATTCGCAATGCAACTGATCTTTCATAGCGAAATTAAAAATGTCCGGAGGTGCCCCCCCCTATAGCTCTTAGCCGGCGAGATGAATGAAGCAGAAATACCGACCGACATTGTGTTGCATTCGTACATAACAGCGCGAGGGGGTAAACACTTCAAGAAATCGTGTACAGACCACTCGGTATTACGCTGTATTACGAGTGTATCACACGTGTATTACGGCCCTAAAATGCCCAAATTTGGCACATATGACCCAAAAATGGTACTACGATCACTTGTATTACGCGCAATACACGGTTTTTGTGTACAGGGTATTACGCGAGTGGTTACCCCCAGCGTGTCTACTGTGGGATTTCCTATGAAGATACGTTGTTCTGTCAGATGATCACTCAATTGTGTTTCTCCTCGCAGCCCTTGGAATCAACGGCGCCATCATGTTCGTGACGGAGGTGGCGCCCTCACACCTCCGCGGAGCCCTGAACGCCACGCAGCCGACCATGGCGTCAATAGGTGGGTACTCTGTTACACGATGACTGTGACGTCATATTCGTTGGAGAACGTGAAATTTTGACATATTCGTCTGAATATGACGTCACGTTCGTCTGAATATGACGTCACGTTCGTCTGAATAAGACGTCACGTTCGTCTGAATAAGACGTCACGTTCGTTTGAATATGACGTCACGTTCGTTTGAATATGACGTCACGTTCGTTTGAATATGGCGTCACGTTCGTTTGGACGCGACACGACGGCCATCTTAGTATGACATTGATTTGAACGTGGATCAACATTCCTCCCTCGCAGGTAGGCGAAAGATGACACTTCTCTACTGTAGGTACAGTAGGTATGCTTCCGAAGGAAACTCTGTTAATGCGCACAGACCAGCACAAACGTCGATGAATATTGATAAAATGTCGATTGGAGGATGCGAGCGTCGTGGTTTGCCACAGTGTGCGGTTGTTCCAGCTGAGACTCTGCATGTCTGCCAGGCATCGTGCTGGGCTACGTTTTGGGCGCGGTGACTCGGTGGCGACTCTCGGCCTGGATCAGCGGCGCGTCCCCCTTCTTCGTCGTGGTCCTCATGCAGCTCGTCTGCTACGAGAGCCCCATCTGGCTGGTGTCCAAGGGCCGCGTCGAGGAGGCCCGGCGCTCGCTGCGGGCCTACGCGCGCTGCTACGACACGGAGGACGCCAGGGTGAGCGGCAGCCCGAACCCCTAGGGTGTATGTATTTCGGATGGGAGGAGTCGAGATCCACACACCAAAAGCGGAGAACTTCTCTTGCACAGTAAATGACCACGTTCTTTTTGTTGGGAATAGATTTTGCACAGAATTGAGCATGCACGTGAAACGCAAGAATTTGTGCGCAACAGCGCATACTTTCATGCTTCGTTACGTGCAAATTCGTGTATGTTTGAAATGCATGCACAATGTTGTGCAAAAACGTTTGCACGAAAACTTCATAGTAGCAATTTAATGTGTGCCTATACACTGAAAATAGGAAGGTGAGGACTTCAAGGGGTGATTCTAAAATCCGGAAAAGAGCGATACTTCGATGAAGGACCGAAAACGGCTCATACTTTAGTGTCAACGATAGAGGGTGATAGGTCTTCAAGCTGAACAAGGGCCAGTTTCGCTGATGTCCGACCTTTTTGGCCCGTCCCGTTCATTTTTTGAAAAAAAATGACGGAGGAACGGGCATATAGTATGATCCCTGCTGTGCGTCCGTCCGTCCGTCCGTTCGTCGAGGACTTCCCGTGGTCCGATCTTGACCAATTTGGTATCCCCCTGGTGACCTAGAACGCCCGGGGCAGCAATTCGATCGGCCAGGGGCGCTGCTGCAGGTGCATCACTCGCTACGGGCGGGAGATACGCAACGGAGAGCCAGGGTGAGCGGCACGTAGGGGTATTATTTGGATGGGGCGAGTCGAGACAAACAACCAATGGGAACAGTTTCCAGCGTAAATCGAGACGTTCGTTGCCGGGTTGCACAGATCCCATGCGTGAAACGGTATTTTGTGCGAACATGCATACTTTCATGCTCGTACGTTATTCGTGATTGTTTTGCATGCCAATTTTGTGCAAACGTGTTGACGAAAATTCGTAGCATTAATTTTATACCGAAATAGGATGTAATTCAAGTGGGTGATCAAACATCGTGAAATGAGCGTTTCGATGAAGTACCGAAACGGGCCAATTTAGTGTCACGATAGAGGGTGATAGGTCTTCAAGCTGAACAAGGGCCAGTTTCGCTGATGTCCGACCTTTTTTCGGTCATACGTCGAGCATCGCCCTTTTACATACGGAAATATTGTCTCTAATTCAAGTATTTAATTGGACATAGCTTACATCGAGGGGATGTGTACTTGCGTTATAGTCGGGCCACTCTGTCTGCAGACTTGTAATAGCTTGCGCGACATTTTCCAGTTTTTATCCTTTTTTAGTTTTTAGCTGAATTCCGATTATTTTGAGGCGCAATAGACCGTAATCGTAAAATTCGGGTCACAGGTTTTGAGAGTGCATACCACCCCGGCTTACATATGATCCAGGAAGCGGAAGAAGGGAATAACTCCATTTTGACCATTTTTCAGGAGCAACAAAAAACTGTTAGCAGGGAAATCTAAAACTGAACAATGGAATGTTATAGATGATAACAAGTTCAAAAAATGTAAATTAAATTGTGAGATGAACATCAGGAGTGTCAGGTCACTGCGTGTAGGATATCTGTGACTTATCACTTTCCGCTAAAATGTAAAAGAGAGTCATCTCAACTTATATTTCTTAAACGAAGTGGAATTAGGAGACATGTCAAGTGGAACTATAGTCAGCAGAGAGTGTTGGTTCCACTAGTGCATTTTTTGGACTTAGCTCTTTTTTCCGTTTAAGTTCTTAAAATTAAAGGGGGGTAAGTTGACTTGATTCTTTTTAAAATGGATACTTAAAAACACAAGTTGAGTCATCTCCTATCAACAATATGTTGAACGGAGTCATGTTGACTTTGGTTGAGATGTATCCATTTTCCGCTAAATTGAGAGTGTAAAAGGGGTCAAGTTGAATTACATCTTTTTTCAAAGTGGATTTTCTCTTGAGCTGCTAGGAATTGAGTCAAATAATTTGGTGCAATGATGCAAACCATTCTAACGCACAACGACATAATAAAAACTCAATTTGGAGATAAGTCTAATTATTCCCTTCTTCCGCTTCCTGGATCATATATGCGCAATGGCAATAGCTAGAGACAACAAAAGTACACTACATCTATAGTGTACCTCTTGCAAATCATGCCCCGTAATATGAAGTTGTTGGTTCCTCTTCCTCGTTGAAATCATTGTTTCGGCGTCTTAGTTCTTGGTAAATTCCAGGAGAAGCTTCCCGAGCGGCAATTGGAATGGCTGATCCAGCGACGGGACTGCAGTGAGGCGCAGGTCGCCACCAAGGTGCCGTGGTACCGCGCCGTCCTCGACCTCTTCACCCAGCCCGAGGGCTACCGGCCCTTGCTCATCCTCTTCGTGGTCTTCGCGGCGCAGAACCTGAGCGGCATCTACATCACCCTGTTCTACGCCGCGCCCTTCTTCAAGGTGGGCGGGTACAGCCAGTCCGGAGGGTTGTCTTTTTAAGTTTCAGAGCTGACCTAGGTGATGACCAAGGCCCGAATTGAACAACTTCGAGACTAAACGTACACGCACTACAAACCCAACTGTCTACTTAGTACACACTTAAGTGCATGCTTGAAAGTACACTCTTACAAACGCATGCTTGGCCAAATACACACTTACAAATGCCTATGCTTAGCATGGAGTTATACGGCGCTAAGCATGCGTTTGTAAGTGTGTACTTGCAAGCATGCGTTTGTAAGTGTGTACTTGCAAGCATGCATTTGTAAGTGTGTACTAAGCAGACAGTTTGTTGTGTGGCACTGACTAGCCTTTCTTAGGCCGCAGACGTTGTGTCCATATTGACTTGCAGCCGGAAACGAGGGCTGTGATTGTCGCCTAGGGAGAATTACTTTGAATTTCCGCGAGAACGAACATAACATGAATGCCAGTTGAATTTCGATTAATTTTAGGTTAAAGCTTCTAAAGTTTGGGAAGAATTTCGATAAAAAATTTTATATCATAGTGTTCACTCTCACACTCTAGAAGTCTGAATGCTGATTCAACTCATAATGGTGGGAATTTGCTCCATAATACTAAAGAAATTAGTCAAAATTAAGTAAATTTCAGCAAGTTTCAAACTTTTTTTCAGAATTTTGGTGTAGAAATTTGACTTGGTCATTCCCCTTGACTGTTGCAGGAGATGGGCGTCGAGGTGGACGCTTTCCAGGCGGCGGTGCTCATCGGGCTGATGCGGCTCGTCATGGGCCTGGTGGCGGTGTGGCTGCTGGGTAACGTGAGCGTGCGCAAGCTCATGACCACCTCGTCCCTCGGCATGGGGGTCTGCATGCTGCTGTCGGGCTACTTCACGCTCCGCCCCGAACACGGTGAGCCTCATTCTTCTTCTGTTCACTCCCACACTCTGAAAGTCCTACGATGAAAGGCTGCTTCATAAACACATTTATGGTGGAGCTTTGCTCCATAATACGAAAGAAATTCGTCAAAATCCATGTAAGGTACAGTGAATTTGCAAAGGCGAATTTAAAGTTACACAGCCAGCTGCACCTCCATAATATAGAGAATTTTCACCGTAGAGAATCTTTACAATACTGGTAGACTGGTAGAAAAAGTACGCAACAAGTCTAGTCAATAACTTGCGTGCACACTTGGGTACTTTTTTATGCATAATTATGCATGCACAGATACGTTCGTAAGGTGTGTATGATATTATGCATCTCTGTGTACATTTTATGCAGGAAGATGCATAAGATGTACACAATGATGCATAATGCATAATATACATAAGGATGGAGACAAGGGGAAATCACTGTGAATTTCGGTGTGAAAATCCAATGATTTTCAGTCGCATTTCGATGAATTTCAGTCAAATTTCGATGAATTTTAGTTGAATTTCAATGAATTTTGGTCGAATTTCTATGAATTTGAGTGAATTTTAGTGAACTTTACATGTTTGATGTATTTCGGTGAACAAATTTGGCTGGAGTTGTTTCTCCTTGGATGCATGATACGTGTTGTACGCACCTTACGTACGTACCTGTGCATGCATAATTATGCACTCAAAATTTATAATTATGGGACCGTTCGTCCGTGCCAACTACGGCACTTCTGTCCTTTTTTCCCTACCTATTTACATGAATTCTTATGAACAAGTAGGGGTATAAGTTGGGGTAAGAAAAGTATACCCCCCTGTGGCCTATACTGCAGACATCTCGGCATCTATTCGACAGGAAATTCACACTTTTCTCCGTACTTCCGCACTAATATTCTTCTACAAAAACGACATTAATCCGAGCATTTTTCGAACAGTAGCACAGATTTTGTTGTTGTTCTCACTGCATTATTTACGAGAGCTGCGTTGTGGGTCGGCAGGCCTGCACGGCTGGGTGCCGGTGGTGTTGGTGCTGGTGTACGTGGCCATGTCGTGCTGCGGCCTCATGACGGTGCCCTGGACCATGCCGGCCGAGCTGTACCCCGACCACCTGCGCGACGCGGGCCAGTCCTTCACCGTGTTCTCCGCCGACCTGCTCATGTTCTCGGTGCTGCAGCTCTACCCAACGCTCCTCAACGGCCTCCGTAATTGTTACGAGTGCATTCACGCTCACGTCACGCTTATTAGAACCCTATGAAGTATTTTGAGCATTTCGAACTTATTAACTGTGTTATACGAAGAAACAGTTCGTACGAACTTTTTTCCTTGTAAGGTTACGTGTGCTCTAAACACTCTCTTTTGTGAAGCTTCTTTACTTTCTAAGGCTTAAATAGTTACGGAGTTACAACCCAAAGAACGTGACATGCTCAGCGTGACCACTCTCACTGTCATTCCCTGAGCGTGACATCACATTCAAAGTTATGGCTGATTCACATCCAAACGAATCTGACGCAATTCTCAACACTGAGAAAACCTTACAAACTATTTTGGGCCTTACAAAGAAAAGTAGTTTGTATAACAAAGTATTTTGAGCCTACGTAAGCTTACAAAGAAAATACTTCGTAATTTACGAACTATTTCTTCGTATAACAAAGTATTTTAGTTTGTTATATGTATGCTCAAAATACTTCGTAAGGTTTTACGAGTGAAAGGAGCGTGGCATTTTGTCATGCTCGTTTCAACGCGATGTCACGCTCCTGACATGACAATGATATCATTTGATGTCAATGTGACTGCTTTTAAGTCAAAATTTCGACAAAAAAAAAAGTCGTTTGCATGGACAAATTTATGTCATTTTGACGACCTTTTCATGAGCCAGGCTCCTCGAAATCACGTTATTTCTGCATCTTGTAACGGCTGGAGATCGAAAAGATACTTACAGGAATGTCCCCGTCTCAAACTCAATTTGAGATGGAGTCATCCTTGTGCACAAGTTTTCTTTTTCTAGCCGTTTACGAAGTACAGAAATAGCGTCAATTTCAAAACTATCATGTTTGCGCTCCCTGCTTACGAAAGCTTCGGCTTGCAACTTTTATTTTTTATTTTGGCAGAGTTTGGAGAGGTGACCGGCACGGTGGGGATCCAGTGGTTCTTCGCGGCGGTCTCGCTGGCCAACGTGGTGTTCGTGGTCGTCTTCCTGCCGGAGACGCACGGCAGGTCCCTGCAGGAGCTGCAGGAGCACTACCAGCTCAACACCATGTGGCTGTGGCGCACCAAGACGAGGCCCGCCGACACCGAGTCCGGCAACAACGTCTCCACCACCAGCACGGTGACCGCCTGCGACTCGGACCTTACAAAAACGTAAAAGGTTTCTCACTCAATAAAAACAGAAAAACTAAGGGATAAAACTCTTGAAATCTTGACCAGTCTCGCATTTCTTACACTGAGAAAACCTTACAAACTATTTTGGGCCTTACAAAGAAAATTAGTTTGTATAACAAAGTATTTTGAGCATACGTAAGCTTACAAAGAAAATACTTCGTAATTTACGAACTATTTCTTCGTATAACAAAGTATTTTAGTTTGTTATATGTATGCTCAAAATACTTCGTAAGGTTTTAAGAGTGTAGACATTGATCCGAAAATCAAGAAGCAACCCCATCCCTCGTACAATTCAAAGGAAGAAAATAAAAGTGCCAGGTAACTCGACATGATAGCGGAAGTGACTGGACTGATGCAAGAAATTGTCCCACTGCGGAGCCTTCAAGGAGCTTCTGGCCAAGAAGAACGAAATCCTGGCGTCATTTACACTGAAGATCCAAAGGTGCAAACTTCTCCCCACTAGGCGAGACAGAAGGTCTTCCCATGTATGGGTCTGGCCTGGAAGTCTCCCCTCGTTTCTCAATCTCGATCGCTGAGACAAAATGGTCCGACATTTTTGGCCGACCAAAATTTGTCCAGAATTGTATACATTCTAAATGTCTTACGAAGAAATTTCCCATAATACGAAGGAAATGGGGCAAGCATAATACGAAGGTGGTTTTTCTTCGTATAACGCAGGTTTTTGTTTGTATCTTTCAATGAAAAAGCCAGAAAGATTCGTATTACGAAGGAATATTGCTTCGTATTATGCTTGCGTCGAATTCACTGTAACATACGAATAACATAGGTCAAGTTTCATTGTAAGACATTTAGAGTGTACCCAGTCAATATGGTTCATGCGGCCTGTACTGTATTTTGACAAAATTGTCTGGCGCAGTTTGGTTAGACATTTTTGTCTGATCAAATTGTGGTGTGACTTAAAGGTTCGATCAAAACTTTGGGGGACTTCTTGTCTCGCCATATTGGTGTATACTCTTTCCATTCAATATTCCTTGAGACTTCATGAGGCAAGACTGCAGTCTTGCAGGTTCTGTTCCCTAATTAACTTCAATTTAAAAGGGTTAAATTGGTGTTAGAAGGAAGCAGCTCTACCGCCTTTTTATTTTCCTACCCGCACTTAGGTGTACAAATGCTTGTGTTTCTGTGATAAGATTTAAGTCCTTGTTTTCGCTGTTTAAAATACTGTAATCTATTAGCTCAAGTGATCTTCAATGGCCCTGTTGAGTAACAGCTGTTTTTTTGGCAGTTTTAACTTCAGAAGTGTACTTGGTCATTTAATGGCTCTTATGAAGTAAAAATCAAAGTTTCTGTATTTTTTGAGGCAGTTAATGTTCTGCCACTGAAAAATTTACTGTCAGCCTCTCGGTCAAGTCCATGAATCCCTAATTGTTTCTGTCGTTGTTGAGGCTTCCTTACAATGCTAGTCGTTTCCTTAAGTGCTTCCTGCGATGAAGCACTTTGGCTCAAACTTAATGCGTATCAGCGTTTCCAAATTCTAAACAGAGTCACGTGTCAAAAAACGCTGTTGGCCGATCTCTTTCCGTACAGCGCGGCGTGTTTATCGGTGGGTCAGGTGTACTCACGACGGCGCTGCCACTACTACTGCTACTTTCACGCTTTCCACTGCTGCTTGACACGTGTTGCCACTATTGGTTGTGTTCGAGGAATAAAGTGAGCCGATTGACGTCAAGGGCCAAAAAGAGTTGTTTCAGAGCGATGCGGGAAAGATTAGCGCGCTATCGTTACGGCCGCGGTCTGACAAGATGCAAAATGTTACTATCTTTCTTTCGATCGAGCGCGAGCTGAATCCTGTAAGTCAACTCCATCTATCCACTGTAAATCTATCTATCTTTTGGGACTCCCAGGAATGTTGGTTGATTCCCAGGAAGATCTCCTGGGATTCGGAGGAAGGTATCCTGGGATTCATTCCTAGGAAGACCTCCTGGGATTCCCAGGAAGGTCTCCTGGGACCGAGGGGGTAAACACTTCAAGAAATCGGTACAGACTACTCGGTATTACGCTGTATTACGGGTGTATTACACGGTATTACGGCCCAAAATGCCCAAATTAGCACATTTGACCCAAAAATGGTATTACGATCACGTGTATTACGCGTAATACACGGTTTTTGTGTACAGGGTATTACGCGAGTGGTTACCCCCTCGCCTGGGACTCCCAGAAATGGCGGTCCATTCCCAGGAATATCGGTTCACAGGAGATGGTTTTATCGCGCCGGAAACATAAACAACTTTTGGTGGACTAACTTTGACAGCTTAGGACCTTTCAATCTCAACGCGGATTGAGCATAGCCATGCGTTCACTACTGTTGACAACTTTTCAGCAGATGGTACATGAGCAGTTCTCGCGAAATGGTTAATTTTGGGCCCTGAAACTTTTTGAAAAAAAGTTCAATTGAAACCGGGTTTTTTGCATTTATCTTGTTAAGAACATCACTAGGGATCATGGATTCACCGGGCGAGCTATCACCCCAATAATATGGGAAATATCGAAATTTTTAAATTTTTTTGCCGTCCACGGAAATTACACAGCCTCAGAAACTGTCCACGGAAATTACATTTTAATGGGCCCTTAGAATAGGTGCGATACGAACGCAAACGCCTAGCAGTTTAGGCAGCTCCCTCCACATCTGTGCATTCTGGTTCCATGTTGCGTACCTCACAATAAAATTTCGGGCTAGACCACAATTTGATCGTATGCCGTTTCGGGCCGACCCCCGCGTGCACTGCCAAACGGGACACGGCCGTCCTTACTGGGGTGCCACGTTATACTGGCGGAGAAAAACCCTCGTGCGGCTACAAGGCCCCACTCGTAGTGTGACCAGTATGTGACGAGGTGTACATCCCCCCCCCCCCCCCGGGGGGGCCTAGAACAGCCTCTTTGAGTAGGACTGGGTCCGGTGTCCACCTCTCCCGGCTCAATTCCCTTGTCTCGGGAACAACTGTGAATTCTTTTTCTTCTGACCACGGTTGCATAGTTTTTACCTCCCAGGCGGTACCTCTCCCCTTGGCAAATGATGGGCCCTAGAGTGGACAACGGAGGAAAGCCCCTCTTGATCAGCTCCTGCGTGTTTTGTTCGGAAAATATTAAAAATGGGTGCGATCAGTTGAGGAAAAGTTGATCGGCGGGTCGAGACAGCGGCCCGCTCGCGGTGCGGTCTATTTAGCCCTCCTGGAAGCATATCTGGCACCCACGTTTACTAACCTTTTTTCGGAAAGTTTTCTCTTTGATTTGGGAACAGATTGCTGCAATTTATTCGATAAACTGGGTCTTAGCATTCGAACGGAAGCTTAGGAAAGACGTCATGTTGCTTAACATATCGGTCAGGTTAAGTCCACCGCAAGTCTTAAATGGTCAGCTAGATCCCAAAATACAGCGAGCCTATTTTTCCAAGACATTAAGCTTTCGGTTAAGCTTTCCGATCTGAATAATCAACGTTGACGGTTTCACTGACTCGCAGTCACAACTGTCAAGGCAGTATGCCGGCCGCGCCGAACAAAGCAGCATAAAACCGCTTGGTTGTCCAGAAAATACAGTGTTTTACCCAAACTGATGAGTGGAGTCGAAAGCTTAGACTCTTGCAAAAAGTCGGCTCGCTGCTCGTTTGGTCCATTTTGTGACTTGCGGCGGGTTTAACCTGATGGATGTTGTGTTAACTACGCCACGACTTTCCTCAGCTTGCCTTCCCCTTCCCCATGCCCATTTCCCTCCAGATGGCATTCCCTCCATAAGAGAGGTTTAAAACAGAAAAATATCGACATACTTTAGAGCTGAGGCCCCCTTTCGAGGCCAAAATCACGTGAAAGGGAACGAAAACCTCATTTTGTCCACGGAAATTACAGTCCACGGAAATTACATTATTGCATAAAAAGGGGTGTACAAGCCAAACCAGAAGTGCCACCGGAACCAAAATTTTTCTGGGAAAAACTTGTCCACAGGGGAAAACACAAGGATTGGTTCGCAATCAAAATTTGAATGGTCTGCAAGCATGGGTGGAACGGAAATTACACTTATTGCTTGCTAGGCCAATTTTTTTGCCGCTTTGGAACTTATTTAACTTTATATTTTCCGTTCTAAAGGTGCCACATTACTCCGCCAATTTGCAAATTGTGTAGAACGAATGCACCAACAAAATGAAAAAAATTTCAGAACGGTCGCACATAAGGTAGAAAAACCGTCCCAAAAAAAACCCATTTAGACTTTTGAATTTTAGTTGTGGAAGACAATTTCGGAATCATCTTGTGTCTGCAAATTTTACCCGAGAGATACGTTCTACACGTCAAAACGTAGCCTCACTTGCGTAGAACAAAATGCACTTAGCGAAAGTGATTTCTCATACCCCCTTTGGGGCTGTAGTAGAGGCGGGAAGCCCCAAATCGGAGCGTAGGACATAAAAAAGTGTCCACGGAAATTACATTCTAGGGAAAAACTTGCAATTTAACGGTGGAAGGAGGCAAAATTTCATCTTGATGAGAGTTGTACCTTGTCCGCAAGGTCAAAAACAAAAAGGTAGGAAAAGCCCCGGGTTAAAAATCGACTTTAGGTTGGAAGAACCAGAGAGAGGACACGAAATTATCACATCTCGCGAGAACTGCTCACATACATATATAATATAGAAGAGAGACAAAACCGAAAAGTAAATAAAAAGGGTTTCAGAAAGAAAGGGCCACAGTGAGCCCGAAGAAATCCGTGAGGGGGCTCGATTCCGCTCCCGCTGATGCTGCGTGCGCGTTCGCCCTGCACTCTCAGACTCGTACGAAGTTTTTGTCTAAAAACGGATCGACGTTTAAGCGCGTTAATAAGCGTATTAACATTTTTGTTTGTTTTACTACCATCATTATCAATTTTGTCTTAACAAATTCCTAACAAAATTCTATCTAATGCGCATCAACGTCAATGGAAATTGAAGAAATGTCGATTGAGGGAGGAGAGTGCGCTCGCTAAGGCTACTCGCCCGCCTGAATGCCA